GAAGAAACTTGATGTCTTATAATGCAATTCAATATTACCTCTTAGAACATGGATTAATGGATTGGTACTAGAGTGAAAGATAGAATGAAATCTGTTGATGTTTCCTTTTCCTTCCTAATACGACTTCTGCTCTGTACACCTCTGCTCAAGATATGTTTGTCCAGTAGCTCTGGTCTTGTTTTTGGTTGTATCAACTCTCTCTCTCTCTCTCTCTCTCTGTTAATAGAAAACAGGCGAGCTTCCGTTGACATATTCTTGAAGGCATCGGGGTATCTGGATTGTGCTGTTCGGCATGTCCTACCACAGTTATTGACTGAACTCAGGTTTGTGATACCTGTAATATTGTTGTGACATGTTTATGCTGGAAGTACAATTCATCTTGTAATTTCCTTTTTGTCTCATATTTACAGGAGAGAATTACCAGTAGACCTTGCAGAAGGGGTTCTTCGAGCTCTTTGCCTCCAAGCACTGGGGCAGGTACTCTTCTTATCGTGGATATAGCAATTGATGAACCACTAAGCTAATTGTGTTCTTCCAAACTCATCTATTAATCAGTGCTTCTACAAAGATAATCAAGTTGATACTCAATAGGTATAACGTCACCTTTAGGCCCAAACAAATTGTTGAAGATACATTTTTTCAAGACTTTCTTCTAAATTTACCTGTGTCTTCTGCACGATTTTCTTTTAACTTTTGTCATATATTGAAAAAAGATGGAGTTATTAAATCATACTTAATATGAAAATCCAACAAAGAATCACTCTCTCTATATTCTTCATCCTTTCAAGATTTTCCTTTGAGCTTCCAAATTATTAGTTAATTTCTGGAGAATTCAGTGAGGAAGTAATCTTTTTGATGTTTGAGGGTTGGTATAATCACATATCTTTATTCCTACTGATGTTCTACACTTTTATTTTTTATGACATTAATTGAAGCAATTTGGAATCATTTCGGAAACATCCTTTCTCTTGAAGTTCATTTAATAGTTTCTCCCACCCTAATGATAGTTGGGAATTTTCTCTCTGATGTTTGATATAGAGTGTGGATGTCCAACTTGGAATGGCAATTGATAGCACAAAAGCCACCCTGGCAGTCAAACGTAGGCTTGCTTGTGAGATGGTAAAGTACTGGCAGCAGGTATATATCAAATTTCGTCTTATAAAATTTGACCACAAGTCACCCATGAATCTGATTCAAGACTCAGATATATTATGGATGGTGAAAACGTTTCTGCACTTTGTTCGACTTTTATTGGCTTGGATAAGGTGTCTTCGGATTTGAATGTTGGAACTCCTCTTTCAGTGCAGTTAACAACGTTTGCATCACTTACTATAGCCGAAAATATAATTATGTTCAGGAACAATTACTCTAGTGTATTGCATTGTATTTGGTTTGTTCTTGCTTGGAGTACTTTTATTCATCTTCTCTTCAGTAGATCTGTAGTGAATCACTTGAGCATCTCCATGCATGCTGAGATGTTTCCAAAGCATCCTGGTTTTGTGGTAAAAGTGAAATGGAACAGCAAAGACTCCCCTAGCGTTTCTTTTTCAAATTCTGAACTTGAATAATGGAAATGCAATTAGTCATCTAAGCACTTTAACAACAATGAATTGTGTAATATGCTGTTGATGTCCTACATGAAAAATATTGTCGTTTCTAATTCTAAATACCTATGGAGTATGCACATTCATGTACAAGAATATTAATTCCATATGCTTCATATGCATTTGTACATAATTAGTAGTGTGTATATTAATTTGTGTAGTCCAAAATAAAATGTAAATAGGTTTTTATATCCTTATTCTGTTAGTGATTAACAAGAAAACAAGAAAAATAGGTCTTCGCTGGTAGATCATCCAATGCATTCAGCCTTTCACTGGTCATCTCTTTATATAGGTTGTTTCGTCCATGTATTTATTGGCATACATGACAATGTAACAACAACCTTGGCAACGCGTTTATTTATAATCCTATTGGCAACTGTTGATGTACCTTGAGGGACCTGGTTTTTGAATTTATATGGTTGCAGGTTTCCTTAAAAACCTAGTTCATACCCGCACAAGTTTTTCCTTGACACTCATGCCATGTTACCTATGTCCTATTAAATTAACTTCTTTTGTTATTAGTCTTTAACGGGAAATTGATTGGTCTGCACATCTTCCTTTATAGGCTCAAGATAACCTAATGAACGTTCCTTTGACAAATGGTTGGGCAGAAAAGCATCGTCTTTACGTAAAGTGGAAATATAATGAAGCTAAGGTATGATGTGATGTTTCATTCCCTGTTTACTTTTCTCCCTAGCTTAGGATATGTTTGCGGAACTTCTAAATGTGATTACCTCATTTGTGGTCTCTTTATCGTTCTTGAAAGACGACATGACATTTAGGTTTGCATATCTGATTTACTCTGCACGGTGATTGGCAACATATAATCTGTACACTGAAGAATTTATCAAGAGAGAGAAACCGAAGTCCTGGATGGAAAATTTTCTTCTGGGTTGTGGATGATAAGCTAATGGAAAATTCAACTTCTAAATTGCATTTTTTTCACATTATACTGACCACTGTCTGATTATCGCGGTTTGAGTGAGTTACTTATGATAATAGAGATGTCATGCTTGATTTAATCAAATTAAAAGGTGAATCCTTTTGACAGCATGGAGTCGTGGGGATTCCGGTTTTGTATTCATGGCATTTTTCACAGGTTAACCAACTTAGAATAGCAATGGTAGGAGTTGGATCTAAAGAATGATTTGGCTTGTGATTTCAATAATCATACACATGTATATCAATTATGAACGTGGAAAGAAAGTTAAATTCCGTCTCCAATATTTTGTCCTTGGCCTGTTGAATTAGTCACGCTTCTCATGGAGAAATTTCAAGTCCTATTCGGTTCTTCTTATGAAAAACCGTTGATGCAGAATGGAAGGTGTAATCATGCCATATCTACTATATGAGTGGGCAAGCTGGACGAGTGTGTTTTATTAGCTACAATAGCAGCACTAGAAATATTGAATGGGAAAAATAAGATATCGGACTTTCAAATATGGAAGTAATTATTCTACAAAGACTTGCCGGTCATCACTAAATTGAGGAGTAACAGGGCTAAATTCCCCCCTACAGCATGTACTGGTTTTAGTCTAGTTGGTAAAATGATTGCTTACATCACATTTATGCATCAGCAATAGAGCGACGCTATTCCTAAGGTCTTTTCAATCAGGCTGCAGCATATTATTACCACGGCCTGATTCTGGATGAGGGAAACACGGAGAAGTCTCACGGAATGGCAGTTGCTGCTTTACAAGCGTCAGATGAATATCTGAAAGAAAGCAAGAAGGTCTCGGAGGCATTTAATGCGACTCCTCCTCTTTCAAGGTAATCTGGTTAAGCATTTTCTTTTTTCCTTTCAATGCATTAGCTAGTTTTAATTGATTGGCTTGCCAGTATCTAAATTTTCCTATGTATGTCATTTTCTACGAACTTTTAGTCTTTTTTTTTGCCTCAAACTAAATAAATTGATATGGTATAGACCGTACAGATATGTCCTCATTCCTGTATATGCTTCAGTGGTTCAAGGAAAGATGTGTTTTTGGCGATTTGTTCATTTTTTTTCCGGCTAGCAGATCCAAGTTAGTGCACAGTAAGGGAATTTTTACTTCCCCCGCTAGAGAGGTAGACCTTGTATCTGCTACTTGTATATAGTTTTTGACTTGCTTCTCGGTTATTATCTCCCTACAGAATGGAGATTCTCATGAATAAAGTGTATTATTTCCGCATAGAAACTGAGAACTCATACTCCTGTCATGCTGACGTCCCCTGCTTGCAGGAACCCACCACTTTGGGGAACCATGAAGTTTCTGTGGGAAAAAGTTCCAAAAGATACCTCGAGCAAGGTTCGGATAAACCGCGATCTCTACACTTACGAAAAGTAAGATTCGCTACTCTTGACTTAGGACTAAATCTGAGTTAGCATTTCTATTCAATTCTAATAAACGCAGCAGGTGAACGATTTCACTAGTGACTTTCTTGTTGTCATTCACGACAGGGTCATGGAGACTGCACCTACATTGCCCGACTTCGCCTTGGCCTTGAAACCTGACGACTATCAACTCCCTCCTGTGGATAACTGCTGGAACGAGAATAATGTGAATGGGGGCCACTTGGGCCCTGGCCAACTCAAGAGCGACGGAAGATGATGTTGTATTTAAATCTGGGAGAAATACATAGATACATAGGGCACACATTGGAAAGGCCCTTTACAAGAAAGTCGACGCCGGTCTCCCCAGTTTTCCCTCTTCTCTGTATCACCATTATCCACTCTCATGATAGAGCTCTTTGTACAAGTAAATGTTGTGTGTAATTCCTCCCCTGTTGAAAAGAAATGGTTTCCTTTGAAGGCTTTCAATAAAAAGTTTACAAGGTTATGCTTGTCATACGTTCCTGTGCCTCCATTTTGCTACAGTGTCCATTGGTGCTTCTTTTTCTTTCTGATTGCCTGGAATGTACGAACACCTTATCTCCATTTATCCCCATAAATATATGCAAACTCAACGAAAGACAACCTTGTCCCCGTTCGTAAGATGGGATATACATACAGGGTGACAGCCTCACAAGATTACATTTCAAGTAACTTTCCGTAGGAAACATATGACTTGAATGCAGGATCTTTCACTCGGACCGACGACTTGACCACTTAGATTATGTTTCTTCGCCAGGATGAACAGATTTCCATTCCTTGCGTAGATAGGCTCATTTACTTTCCCAGCAGGACGAAACTAAAGCGATCCTGCCATCGCCTTCTTTGTTACTTTTTTTCTTTTCTGGTTCTCCGCCAGTCATATAAAGGTCGTTTCTTTCTGTTTTCCGGCAGCATTTGTAAAATGGAGAGTATCAAAGACCAAAACTTGGCATCCCTCAGTCTATCAGCTTTAGGTGCAGGGGACAATTGGCGTTATAACGAATCCCAAATCATTCACAATCCAAGTCTTATGCAGAATCATCTGGCAACAAAAAATCATAAATCAATTAAAAAGACAAAACACGAAGGGAGAGTTTCCGTTTGCTTTTCGTTCCCTCTTCGATCCTGTCAAGGCAAAGCAAGGAGATGATTCATGGAAAGGAGCCAGCCCATGTAACAGAAGGTAGTAAGAAGTATTAGCTCCCCCATCTAGTTCGTAGGTTACATAGCCAACAAGTTTCACCTTCCCTAAGCTTTTTCTGGACGTACATTTGGACCTCATTTTAGCACAAAAGCATTAAAAATTGAACTAATCGCTAACTCCATTTTCGGCATCTTCTTCAGCCTTCTCCTTCTGTTTCTCCTGCTCCTCTGCACCAAGAAACCCCAAGTTCATGTAAATAAATATGATTGAAAACCATGGTATGTCATTCACGAACAGCGGACGAAAAAAAGGGAGAAAAATTATTGCACCATGTAACTAGTAATTGCTTATTGACAGAACTTAACATTCATCAGTTCACAATTTACGCCGATATGCCTAAGAGTACTTTCCCATTAATATCTAGAAAGTAGGAACTGAGAAAAGGAGCCATGCTGGTTCAAAAGAGAAGGTATCTGACTTCATTTACTGTACAGATATGCATGTTGATGCCTCGATAAATCACTAGGCAACGATACAGATCCTTAGAGAAGCATACATAATCAGTTGTAGACAATTCCAACATACACAAGATTCCATCTTTATACCCAGCAAGATCATCGATGATAAGTTCATATCATTGAGGTGCTCTAACGAGGAACTGAAGATGAATAGCTTATCCCACAATCCTTAGAATTTTAGAATAGCATGCCTATCAATTTGCACTTTTTCGCAAGAAAATTAAATGCCGAATTCGATGATGATACACTGCAGAGGCTACATTCCCTCTCCTTTTATGGAATATAATTATTTTGTCAACAGATTCACCAACCATCATGTGAAAGAAGATTAAAAGAGCTGGCATATTTGGAAGGAAAGATGCTTTTACCAGCATGACAGCAAGATCTCATGCAACTACTTGTAGTTTCTATAGGGAGAGGTACATCAAATCCTTTCTGCACTCTTAACAGATTGTGGTAAAAAATAACTTTCCCCTGCTAGGACCACAACCAGATTGAAATTTTTTCTCCGACGATAACAGCAAATCCTCCAGTCTTTTCTCCTTCAAACACATCATAAACGAAAGACAACACTGAAGCAGCAAACCTAGTGTGGCAGGGATAACCGGGAAGACGAAAAGATGGACGAAATTAGAACCAAGCCTAGCTGTTAAAAGGTGTGCCAACTGGCAGGCTTAACTTGATCGGTTCTTCTATTTGGTAGGAGGCACAAAAGATGATATTATTGAATTCTTTTTCACTCTCTAGGTAGTACTTAGCACCGTGAATGACAATCAACTTCTAGACCTTCAGCGGAGACAAATAAAAGATGTTTCATCCCCCAGAAAAGAAGATTGAAAGATACTTACGAACAATCTTATACATTGCTTTCTGTGTGCGTCTTTCAAGCTTATCAAGCTTCTTCTGGACATCTCTCCTTAAGTCCCAGTTAGGTTTTTTTGGAGCGATGTTTATAAATGGGTCCTACAAAATATCCAAAATGCGAATTATTATTTACAGGCACCATTGGAAAGCTGTGGCACAAGCGCTATACTCAATCAAATCAAAACCCACCTTCTTTTCAGCTGGAGGAGATTCTGTTGCAACAGGGTCTTCAAATTTTGGTAGAACAGGTGGTGCAACCTTTCCCTCCTGAAGTTGCTTATCATGAGGAACATAGTTTCGGAATTTCATGCTGGGATTTCTGCACCAAATTCAAGCATCCTAATTAAAGCAAGAGCCAAACTAAGCACACATGCCAGTATTAGTGGTATGAGTGATAACAGAAAACAGACAATGCGCTCCCAACAACTTGTCACCTCTTTGAATTACTTCTTAATGAGAAATCTATCGAGTTGGTACACCAGACAGAAAACGAACAGGTGTCAAAATTTAATGAGCCTTTTAATATTATACACAGATCTTTATGCTAATTCCTAATACTTCCAAAGTGGAAGAAAGTTTGTATCTAGGGTTGTCATAGGCTAAGCACTGATGCTTCCATGAAACAAACATAAGCCCCAATAAGGCTGCAAGAGAATAATTAGGGCAAAGGATGCAAGATAAGTATGTGAACAGCCTATAACAAACACCAAACGAAAACAAAACATGTTGAATTAACCCATTGGAGTGCAGCACAAGAGACTCCCATTCTAATGCAAACGCAATGACATTGGTAACCCAAGGCCTATGAATGGACATCCTAAATTCATCTCTCTCTCTCTCACTCTCTCGCCATCCAGATAGGTGCAAAGGATATGGTCATCTGGCTAGGGCAATTTACTAAGCATAAAGTAAATTACCAAGCATGAAGAACATTAACAGATATCACAAGGAAAACCCAGAAACAAAGACTTTCGGGACGATCGCTAGAATCACCCGCGAAAAGAAAAGAAAGACGAGGCACAAGAAGCACTCACTCCTCTTGGTCGTCCTCCTCATCATTATCGTTCTCACCATCCAACTTGTCATTGGCTTGAGCAGCAGAATCCTCACCCGGGGCATTAAGCAGCTCCTGAGCAGCCCTGAGAGCTCTCAGCCTCTCTCTCCTCGCCGCGACGGCTTGCTCGATCGACTCATCTTCCGCGCCCATCTCCTCACCTATACACAAACCAGAAGGGCCCATAAACACAAGCACCCACTATTCAAGAAACATTCCCGCCGCAGCCGATGCCGCGCGAACTCCACCGGAACTCGAAAACGATACCCAATTCACAAACCCCCATCCCCACGAATCACACAAACCCACGACACCAGAGACACAGGCGCTTATAGGTGACCAGTCTCGTGGGTCGACGACCCAGCTACCAAGAAACCCACTTGAAGCTGGTTTCGTAGCGAGGCTACAGCTAGGGGAATAGGGTTTCCCGTGTTCATGGAGTTCGAGGGAAAGCGAATGTCGCGACGGCATAAGCTAAAGAACGAATCTTGCGGCCGCAAAATATAAGGGGTCGGCGAGACTGACCTTGGGTTTTTGAGAAGACGAAGGGAAAGGTTCCGATGCTCGGCGATGGCGGACGGCTCTTTTCCCAGGTGGGGATCGTGGTTCCGTCGAGCTCGAGCAGACGAAGGGATTCGCACCAGTCTTCTCTCCCGGAGTTTCCCTCTCGGCACGGCGGCGTCTCGAACAGCCTGGTCATTACCAAAAATAAAAGTAAAAATAAATATAAAGTACCAAACTGGTTCAGCTTGCCACATTTATCCAAAGTAATAAAGGTCAATATTTCTTTCCTTTCTCCTAATTAAACACCAATGGAAAAAGGGAGAGTAAAAGGAAAGTAATAATAAACAAAAACCAATCTTGCATCTTGATTTTTTTTAAGTGCAAAGTACTTTTTTTTTTTTTACGAATAATGCCAATTGCCAAGTGCCTCTTACATAGAGTGGGAGTTGAACCCCACACCTGTGGTACTAGCGTTCTCACCTCCCAATCCCTTTACCAGCTGAGCTACATCATAAAGTATAAAAGTCTATAAATACAATTTTTTTTTGGTCAAGTCCGTTTGTAGATTCGCAATAATTAATTTTCATAATCAATGAAATTCAATTAGAATTTTAAATGAAGAGGTAAAAACAAAGACCTTATATTTTTTACTTAAGCTGAAATAAGGAAATGTACATTTTTTTCCTACTATATAAATACATCTGAACCTTGTACTTGTTGGGAAAGAATCTATTGTGCCACGTAGCGAAATTGCAATTGGTTAACTAGAACATAAAAAATAAGATATCGTTTGTTTCGCGAAAAATGTGACATTTCTAAAAAATACTTTTTAGTAAGTCATTTTCAAGAAAAATAACAATATTTTCCGGTGTTTAGTTGATATTTGAAAATGAACTGGAAAATATTTTCTATCATTTTGTAAGGAAAATTTCATTTGTTCAAAAATTGCTGAAATAGATACTGATCATCATATATGCATGACCGTGCTGGCGTGGACAATTTTTATAATTTATTTTTAAAATTTTGATTTTTTAGTAATTTTTTATTCTTTTCTTTCTTTTTCTTTGTCCTTATACCTCCACCCGTCACTAGGCCTCAACGACAGGCCGCATGCGAGGGCTGACCTCTCCGAGATATGGTGAGGTCGAGGTTCGACCTCGTCGGCTCATGCTTGTGGCCATGAAAAAGAAAAAGAAAAGAAAAAATATTGAAAATATCAATTATTTTTTTTAAAATTTGGCCTCGATGGATCCAAGCACATACATCAAGGACCCGAGCATGAGCGTCATGGACTCGAGCTCGACCTTGATATTACTCGGCTTGGCGTCTCAAGCATGGGCACTGGTATCCAGAGCCTAGCCTCATGGACTCCGGCACAGCTTAGATGGACTCGGATCAAGGCATTAGATTCCTGGGCCTGGGATCCAACCCAACTGCCAAGGGCTTGAGAACGAGTGTTGGGGTTCCTATGCCATAGCTTTTTGTCCAAGGGTAGATATCTAGATTGAAAAATGATTTCCGATTTTTGAAAGAGGAAATTATTTTTTTGAATTTAAATTTTGGTAGATAAATATTTTTCGTTAACCCATTTTCATAAGCAATCCAAACATCGAAAAATAAAGAAAATGTTTTTCCGAAAAACATTTTTCGAAAAATAAACGGAGCCTAAATATCACAAAAACCTTATATGTAAAACCAAATAAAGATCATTAAAATAATAGATTTTTATATGGGTTCCACGGGTGTCAACTGGTGATTTGAGCCTCATTGTTAATTTGTTTTTTTAGTATGAACATGATAAAATTAGATTTAACTCAGAATATATTATCTTCTTTTAACTTTTGAAAGCCTATTTTCATCCTAACATTCCTCACTTAAAAAAACTAAATTTTTTTGACTTTTTTCCACCTTCAAATGGAGATTTTTTTTTCCTCGCATATTTCTTCCGCCTCTGCGCCATCTCTCTCTGGTCAGTTCCTTTCTCTTTTTTAATTTTCATTCCTATTTAAAATTTTCCATTTTTGATTTAAAAATTAATTACTACTTTTCCACTTTTCATACCAAATTTCTCTTTTTCTTTTTATAACAAAATTTTCCTTCATAATCATAAGCAGTGAATAGGCGAAGCTCCAAGCAAACTGCGGCCAGAGTTAACAGAAATTGAGGGAAAATAATAAGCATCAACTCCGTCTCTCTTATCAAAGTTATGTCAATGCAAGTATTGAATCGAATAACAATTTAATTCAAATTAATACTTGCTTATGAAGACTGCTACCTCATTTTAGTTAAAAAAATTGTTTCGTGAAGATTAATAAAAAATTTATCCTCTCTTAAATAAAAAATTATGGGAGGTCATCAGCAATCAGCTCATTTCCTTCAACCTTACCATGGCCAAGTTCTTTTCTTTCAAGCCCCAGAAGAAGAAGCTCGAGTTGTGACGGCTTTACCTATCTCTACCATCTATGCCGAATCCACACAACAATACAACTTAACAAAGATTTGATATGCTACAGGAGATATCGGGACGACGGGATGGAAATCGGATTCGGTATTCATCAAAGAAATTATATCTCTCAATATGCGTACAATGCGCGAATGAATGTGTCGCCTTTTCTTTTCGCTCTAGTACCCAGAAACAAATAACCAGTGACAATCTTATACAGGAAGATAATAGACTCTTAAAGTTTCAACTTGTAACTACAGTCACTAGCCCTGATGCTGACCAGATTGTTAGTACTCAGACTATCCACCACCAACAAGCACTTCCCCAGAATCCTTACCTTCCTCAGCTTCAACCTCCCGAGCTTGACCGCGACCGGTGCGTTGACATTCAGGCTCAGCGGTATCTGCCCCGTCTGTTGCTGCTCCTGAAGCGCATTCATCAATGTGCTCCCGGATCTCGTCTCGCCGCTCAACGTGACATTGAACTCTGTAACGTTCTTGTGACCCTGGTAAAATATAGGCAGTGAACCTTGGCATAACTTGTCGTTCTTGTACCAAACGGCTAGCCACCCGCCCTTCTCGTAGTATATCCCAATCCTCTTGTTCAGATTGTTGGCTGTGATCTGGACGTCGAACTTCGCGTAAAGGGTCACGTCGACGTTGAGCCTCAGGTTGGTTATCCTCAACTTCTGGATCGAATATTTTGGGAGTTTCGGCTGGAATACAGCATAGAGGACTACGGCTGCAGCCCCGACCACAAGTAGTAGGACCACCAGGAGGCAAATTGTCCAGCACAAGCACCTGCAGAAGCAGCTTCTGGTTCTCGGTGGCCGAGAGGGGACGATGATGGGAGGACTTTGATGATGAAGAGGGCTAGCGGCCTTGTCGGAAGCCGGGGCACCAGGGGGCACAAGAGGCACGGTGGGCGGCGATTCCAAATCTGCAACTGGATGAATCTTCTGTTGGTCTGCCATTAAGTTACGACTGCTGCTTCTCTGGGGTCATGCAAGTTTTGGACCATACTCTGTTTCTGCTTCGAAGTAGAAGAGGGTATATATTATCAAAGTAGTTTTGCTTATTGGGACTAGTCTGAAACGGTTTTCCCTCTGCCTCTAGCGGAGAAGCTGGAATCCAATAGGAGAGCTCTAACACGTATCAATCCTCAACTGTATTGTACCTAATAAAATCACATACTAAAACCAGGATGTTTGGGAGGTAGTTGAGTTTCTCATCTGTTTGTACTGTTTGTGCAAGTCACATGTAGGAATCAATGCCGGTTTTGGTTCTCAAATCCAGTCAATCATGGCACTCTCAATCACCCTAAGCCAGTAAAATTTACGTGTCTGATCTTGATGTGTCCAATAACAGAGGACCACCCTGAATCTTCAAGGAAAACAACAGTTGCGAACAGACTTACCTAGACTGACCTGAACCATTGGATTTTGCAGGCCTCCCGCATCCGATGACTCGGATCACTGGGAGGACCAAGTCTCGGCAAGAATTTATTGTAAATATTCTTTTGTCTACCTTGTGATTGAATTGACTTTTGTTTCTTGGGAATATCCTTGCGTTGCAAAAAAAGCAAAGCCAATTGTGTTGATCTAACTGGTCAATTGAAAAGGAGCGAAGTCAACTGCAAATATGTAGTCCCGTGTGCTTATCAAAGGTACGCAGGTGAGCTACCCACGTTAGAGCGATGACAATTGATGTGTACATTGGCAACGTGCGTTTGGTGTTGCAAAATCTCTTGGGAAGCAATATTATTCCGAGTGATTGTCGGCCAAAATATTTAAGGAATTTAATTAGGATGGATACAAAAATGTGTCTCAAAGTCAAGAGCAAGATTTAACTCACAATCAGAGAGATGTTCTTAACAATAATCAATGGCAGCTGGTTCTATTGAGTTTTGAGCAACATGAATTATCAGACATTTCTCCAGGGACTTGCACATTTTTTCGGGCATTTCTTCTTTGCCCCAACATAAAAGAAGAGACCTAGTATCCACTTCGATACCAACAGAGAGAGAGAATTATGTCCCGACTCCTAATTTAGCCAAAATGTGGCGGAAGGAGCAGCAGCAGCAACAGCCGCCACCGCCAGTTACACAATTGCGAGAACATGGATGCAACTCGGCATAAAACCATTCTTGGCCACTTCAATACCATGGCTGGGTTATCATTTATCGGTTAGATCAATATCAGAGGCCATGACCACGGACAAATCTCACATTCGCTAGAAATTCCACAAACACTGTCGAAAGGACAGCTTACTTTTTTCAAGAAACTAACCAATCCCGCCGTTTGTTTACAACAGATACAAAACGTCCATGGATAATCTACTTGATTTCCATCCTATTTCAGCCTACTTTACACTATGCGGTGAAGGTATAATGCGATAATTGACCCGACCTTCATTCAATCTCAATCTGTTGAGGGCCATCTTCTTCTGCTTCTTTGGATCCTTCTGCATCAAGCTCCTCCTGAGAAATCCCTGAAGCTTCCACCGTTCTGGTAACCCACTCCCTCAGTGGATCTTCATTCAGATCAAGCCTCAGAAGACCCGCAAACATCCCACCCAAGAAAGCAACCGGTTCCTAAAAAGAAATAGATTACAAATAGATGGTGGCAATTGAATTTAAAACTTTACGGAGGAGCATAGAGCATTCTTGCTGACTTAGGAGTCGACTGTTGTGAGCACTAACGCTTCAATGGGGACAAATTGCGATAAAATTTTCCCTTCGAATTCGTGCCTTACAACAATCAAGATTGTTTTGGCATATCATAAGATAGACAAATAGGAAGCTTGTTTGATTTATATTTTGTTACTCATAAGCATCTGGTGAAATTGCATAGTCAAGGATTACTTGGATTGGTACGGAAATCAAGCCTAAACATATAGTTTTTTGTCCCGGATTCTCATTCTTATTCAGCAGAGAGGAGAACTACTAGGGTCCTAGAGTCCTAAGGTTAATACTTTTAAGAGTTTGAAACTCTCCAAAGAATGGCATTCTCCATGATCTACCTTAAGACAAACAAGCTCGAGGCCCTTCTATGCACGCTTCATAAAATTCCATGATCTAATCAAGTTTCCCCTTTTTCCTCTTGATTTTAATAATGACATATCTACTTAAACTATTAGACTCGTTACTTTCACAAATAGAATTTATAGCTCAAACCCTATAACTAGTAGGACCCATAAGACATGCCAGATCTTACAACCCCTTTTTCCTTCTTACTTATTTCTTGAAGCTTACAACCACAAACAGTAAAGCCTCACCGGGGGACACCTATCTAGGACTGTCTTTAACCATTATAAAAGAACTTGTTAGATCCCTTCCCTTACTCAATCCAAATTCCCATCAGGAGGACAAACCACAATCATAAGCATCAAACCTGATTCTAACACACCCATCCAGAATTCACCCCTGATAATTTCTGCTACCAAGCAAAGTGAAAGTCCACAAAAGAAAAAAGAGGGAGAGGGAGAGAGAGAGAGAGAGAGAGAGAGACTTCATCCCACAATCAGCTGTTGCTTAGAAACTTTCTTCTGATCCTGGCCTTGTAAAAGCAGGCCTTGAAAAATCATTATACGAATCATTGCCTGAAGAAATGCTTATCAGCCTGAACCCATGATAGATGGTCTGACCGCGGAAATTTAACTATGACAGCCCTCTATCTGTGCTTTTAATCTTTGCGTTCGTTTGCTTGCATATCAGGATGATGAAGCAGGAGCAGTAAGTCTGCTCCCTCCTATCTCAGGCTGCTCAATATACAAGTGATTGAAACAATGGGATCACCTCACGTAGAAAAGGCTTTACTGTTTGTGGTGGTAATTACTTATTAATGTGTTTCCGCAACACTCAAACATCAACAAGTCCCATTCCAACAAGTGTTAATTTTTAACCTTTCTTTAAGCTCTTGCATGTGCAGCAATTCACTTTTAAGTCAGGTTAATGTTTTGGCAATGCCCAACGGTCCACCTCAGTCTAGCGGTAGCAGATCAATCTTTTGATCTTGTTTGGTGGAAAAAACAGGAAAAAAGAAAACAAATCTTTGAAGAGGCAATATGTTTGGCATACTAATAGCTCTTATAGGCAACCCCAGAAAATCATCAAAACCTTTCCACCCACAGAGCAGTTTCTCAAGAAAAATTAAAAACCCAATTTTCAAATCCTCCAAGTTAATGCCCCACGATTCCTCTCAACCATGTCTAATCTCGTATATGCTACTAAAATCCAGACCATGCAGCTTCAAGGTCGGCACATCATTCAGTCAGCTCAACATAAACGAATTGCTGCTTAATTCCCATGCTAATGAATCGTTAACCACGTTAAAGCTCTCCAATTGTCCATCCCAAGACCTAATAGCAACCACCAAGCATCAGGCAACAACGCAAGAATCAAGTTAATCACGATCCTCGTCGTAAACTTAACCAGTGAAAAAAGACCAAGAAAAGCTAGTGACTTATCCGGTCCTGAAAAGGAGTACCTTGAGAGCTTCCTTAATGATGCGCTCTTCAGTGGGATTGAAGAAAAACGCCCGGACTCCATTCCTGCCGTAGCCAGTGCAGTTCCTGCCGATGCCCCTCATTTGGGTACCGAAAAATGGAGACTGCGACGGCGGGTTGAGCCTCGCACGGTCGCCCAGACCGGGTTTCCTCAGCTTCTGCTGCTGAATCCCGGAGTCAATTAGAACGAACGAACAGCGCGCACGAGAGTCGCGAATTGCGCGCGGAGAGAGACAGAGGGATGGATGACGAACCGGTGCAAACGTGGGGGAGCTGACGAGGAGGGACATGGTCGGGCGCTGCGACGCCGGAGCCGCTCCTCAATTCCGGCGGCTGCGGCGGAGGACCGACGGAGAATCCGGAGCGTTTCGCTGTGAGTTCTCGCCGGAGAAGAAGATACGTGTCGGCTCCGGCTCCGGCTCGAGCCTGCTTAAGTTGATAGAATTTTTTGGGTTATTTGATTCCTTCCCTAAAAATTGGCAAGGCATGCTTTTTTTGTGATTTTCGTGATGTCGAAATTTCTTTTTCTCTTCCAATCCAAAGCATGAAAAAATATTGCTTTTCAATGTAATTAAAAAGTGCTAACACAAGCCAAGGTTTAATGGTCGCTATTTATATTTTCAGGATAGCCGATATACATGGAAAGGCGTTTCGAACATAATCTTTGATTGACTGTTGATTTAAATTCGATAAATAAATAACTGTCAACAAATAAGAACGATGATTTTTTTTTTATTTACTTGACTCTCAATGAGATAAATAATTTTTTTGCGAAAGGAGAAGAATGACACACGGAAACAACTTTCATTTCATTTATTTATTTCTTTACAAATGGAGTCCAGAATAAAGTGTAACGTGCGAAATGGAAATCCACGTTTAATTTTTATCTCTTAACTTTTGTTGTTTTGGATTTTAAGATTAGACCTTTTACACCTTGAATTTACAAAACCAAAAAAAAATGTTACGATTTTTTATTAATGATTTTTAAAAATAAATTAGTATATTGCATTACTTTTCAGCAAATTTTATAGATGACTCTCCTTCTCCATCGCAATTTGTTTGGACAAAATGTCAAAAACGAAACACTCCCTCGCACAATACAACAGCGAGCTTCTCACGGGCCGGGCCGGACGAAACCCAGACGGAAGAGGCCCGAGTTAGGTCGGTTCGGGCATTTCGGGCTTCAACGGGCCTGCTCTTCTGTTATAGTAACTCCTCTGTAATCTGGAAGATTTGTCCGTAGCCGTACCGTCCTTTCCTTCCCTCTGCTGTTCTTCTCGCAATCCAGGATCATCCTCACGTCTCTCTCTCTCTCTCTCTCTCTCTCTTCTATGCAGATTTCGCTTGATCCTGATCGCTCGAGCGCCGCCGCCGCCGCCGCCGCCGTCGTCGTCGGTGGTGGTGGTGCCATCTAGGGTTCCGGGGGGGGGTGTCCCGCCGGTGCGTTCGGGTCTCGCGCCACCGCAATCGATGGCCGGAAGGGAAGTCCGCGAGTACACCAATCTCAGCGATCCTAAAGGTCAGGGGTCTCCGAATTCGTGTCGGTTCTCGTGTCCATTGCGGTTCTTGGTCTCGCGGGTTGTTGTTGTTGTTGTTTAGATTTTTGATTCTGTGGAGATTTGTGGATTGAAATGCGGAGCCAGATAAGAAATGGGGGAAGGGGAAGGACAAGATAGACGACGAGGACATCACGTTCCAGCGCATGGTCGCCAAGGTTAGCCCCCTCCATCTCCCCGCTTGTCGTCCCAATCTCTTCTGTACCTGATCGAGCTAAGTTTTTGTTTACTGGCTCCTGGCCTCCATAGTATCGATGGTTTCAATTTGCGTTTAGCTTGCCTGGAGAGATAATGTTGAGAGGGTGCAATTATTGAACGGTCCTTAGGATTTCTCAGAAATATATAGAAAATGATGGGATTAGGTGAAAGAAAAGCTCCGGTGGACTGAAGTGTGCTGTGCCCGAGGAACTGCACGATGAGGTTGTGCCCTAGGCTAGGAACTCGGGTTCCTCTGTTCATAAGTTTTGGATTAAGACGGGTCCGCAGAAAATTTATGTGGTTATTGTTTTGCAGTGATCATACCTGTGGGATTGATGGAAGAATGCGTGCATCAGCTCTTGGTTTAACTTAGTTATAAAACGTAGAATTATACTAGTTAGTGCAATTTACGGTTTGTGCACTAAAGACTGTTTTTTAGTTAGTGGGTGGGAGCCAGGAGTCTTTGTCAGGATACTAACTGTACTTCAGTCCCGATCTCCATTAAGCATTTGCATGAGGATGGTTTTCTGATAACATGCCCGGGCAGGGATCTTGGCCTTTACCGGGTGGCTGATGCAAGCAGATGCAAGAGGTTGCTGGAGAACGTGGAGGTTACCTTCATGGACGGGGAGGTAGGCATAGTCATAGACAAACAAACTTTCCCTGAGGTGCACCCAGCGAAGTGATGGGAAAGCTTTCTCCTGGGTTTTTGTACAGTTTCGTCTCTTTCCCTTTTCTTTCTGCCTTTAGTTCCTAGAACTTTGTTTGGGCTTGATTGTGCAGCCCTGGACAGTGATGATCTGCTATATCTCAAGGAACAAATGGAAGCTGAGGAGGATGCAGAACGCCTCCTACGCCGCACTGAAAAACGAGCATTTGCTGCGTTTAAAATATCCTTCAATGTTTGGATTTTTTTTTTTTTTTGGGGTGAAAATGCGATGCATTTATGTGGAACATTGAGATTGGTGAGGTTAATAATGTGTAGATGATGCTTATTTTTAGGTTTTTATTGCATTTGAAGGAGTGCACTTCACTGTCAATATTGGCTAACAAGATTAGTCTAGGTTCATACTAATATGGTTATTGTACAAGGAAAATTTCATTACTTGTGCTCTTTGGGGTTGTACATTGTACGAGGCTTTCATGGGACATTGTGCATGATTCTACCTAGGTGTTCTGGGGTTTCTGTGTTTTTGGCTCTTCTTTGCCTGCTGTTCATTTTAGTTTAATATCAAGGCAATCTAGCAGTGTATCTTAGTTTCTTGTTATTGTTACTAAGTCGTATCTGCTGGAACTAAAGTATACGTATCGGATTAATTGTTTCTTCTGGCATGCTGATTGAAATTTTTTTTTTAGGATCTATTTATTGTATTTTTAAGATTAAGTTGCTATCTAAGTCCCCTTGATTGGGAGAACAGAGAACTGATGGTCAACTTTGTTGATGTTAGAAGCCTTGAGTGGGATAATTTTTTGACATTGACACACAAATTCTTGGCTTTAAAATGTCTCAAAATGTTTCTCTGTCGATGTTCTGATAGCATATAGATTCAGAGGTCAGTAGGAGAGGTTAAATGGAAGACCTATCTCAGTGCTTTCATCAAGTCTTTCCCTTAATTGAAGGATACAGAGCAGCGAGTTTAGCAGATTCATCTCCTGCATCCGTGCCTTTGCCTCTTCGTGTTGAACCAAAGCCAAAGAGTGGGATCAGGTATTGTCTCTTTTCAGCACATGTGCAAGGTTGGAAGTTTTAGGTTTCTTCCTCCTCTCAACAGTTTTAATTGTCAATCTAACGCAGGCAGCAAGATCTCCTCAAGAAAGTTGTGGAAATCAAGCCGAAGCGGCAAAAAGTTTCCAGCCCGTCAAATGCGAATCGGGCAACTGCCATATCCAATAATCATGTAACTTCTGAATCGAAGGCTGACCAGGTGAAGAAACAGCCCACGCCTACAAAAGCAGAGGATAAAACCGAATCGGAAAATCCTGTAAAAAGCTTGCTGGGCATAGCATATGAAAGTTCTGACGACGATGAGGAATGATTGAAGAATGAAGAGCGGGTGCACACGTGCGGTTCTGCTTGCTCAGTTTTGATGTTTATTTGAAGTAGGAAATGTAGTATAAGACATCGAATTCAGCCTAAGTGTATCTTTTGGCACTAATATATTACATGGCTTTGAAATCTTACCAAATTTCCTCACTATGCCTCCTGGTGCAAATGCTCTGTTTTGATGTTATCTGAAGTAGGAAATGTAGTACAAGACATTGAATTCGGCGTAAGTGTATCATCTTTTGGTACTAATATATCACATGGCTTTGAAAGCTTACCAAATTTCTCACTATGCCTCCTGGTGCAAATGTCTTAAAAGAGTATGGCAAGACTTTTTGTGATCGATTCACCGTTGCAAACTTGAAATTGCCAGTGAGAAGGGTATTGCGACAGCATTTTTCTTTACGTTGAGTTGACCAGGGTTTGGTTTAAGTTTAACTTACTTAAGCTTTCAATAATAATTCCTACATGTACGGACCGGAATCCAAGTAAGTTTTTCACGAGAATGAGACGATGTCCTTTCAAGAAGCTCATGATCAAGACAACGTAATTTCAGAGCATTATTTCGGAGATTTGGTTAGTTAACAAACAGGATCCCAGACATGAATCTCTGCTCGAACTACATGAATTCAAATCGTGTCTCAAAGGGAAATGTGCGTGTCAATGCAAGAATACTAGGCTTGAAGTTGAAGTGAAAGTCGTTTATTATTCCACTACAACACATGCATTAACTGGTACACAATATTACTGCAATATAACTCAATTGTGTCCTCCTCCTCCTCCTCTTTCCCTATCACAAAACCCTAAACCTTAAACATCATTATTCCACCAGCAACCGTACTTATATTCCTCATTCATGGCTTAATCTCTAACGGCGGCAGACTACTCCACGTCCGTTGCTGAACTTGCTGGTGCACTCCATTGCGTTTGCCAACTCCAATGCCAATGGCTTCGCCTCCGGGAACAACACTGCCTCTGGGTCGAAGATGCAGTACTGACAGTCCGTGGACGCGAGAGAGGACGTCCTGTACTTGTTCTCACCTCCCATGATCGGCATCGCGACTCCTCTCTTCACTGGGTTCTGGAAATCGGGCCTGTAGGTCTGCCCCAACACGCCCTCCACCCGCTCTGAGAGATCGAAGAACCTGAACTGCACCTCCAAGTGCGCGAAGCAGTCGTCCGCGGGAATCTGATAGTTGTGGATCCTGTCGTCTTCCTTGGTGATTGGCACTACGCTTGCGGAAATTTCCAGGACACCAGGAAGGGTCATAGTGATGGCATTGTGATTAGCGGTCCGCTCCACGGAGAGAGCGCTATCGGGAGCCGACCAGCTCGAGAGGTGACCGTCAGCAATGTGGACCAGCTGGTCGTCGTAGGTGAAAGCGAGCTGGTCAACTTTGTTGTTCCAGTGGGCGACCTTTTTGGCGGAGAGAGTGAAGGTGTGGCGGTTGAACCTGAGGCCTAGGGCTTGGATCCACGTGTTGTCGCGCTTCCTTCCCTCAGGGCGGCGACCGATGAATCGGGCATTGATTTGGAGGTTCTGGTCAGCGACGAGAGCGAAGTGGCGGTTGGTCTCTCCATGGAAGTAGAAGACTATACCATCGCCTCCAATGAATCTGGGGTCACCGCAGGCGGAGCCTACTCCATTGCAGTTGGCCGTGCGGTCTGCAATTAAAACACCAGCATGTTGAATTGGTTTAATCATGTCGCATTACTATCTAGTACACTCGATTGTTTGAGATTATTATAATTATAATTCAAGGTACTTGATCTCTGACTGCATATATAATATATCTGCACGAATCATTCAATGCTATGAATGGGCCCCCTAGGGAGAAGTCTATACAGCGTCTCTGCATGGAAATGCATGAATGAGAGAGAGAGAGAGAGAGAGAGAGAGAGAGAGAGAGAGAGAGAGAGAGAGAGAGAGAGAGAGAGAGAGAGAGAGAGAGAGAGAGAGAGAGAGAGTTTTGAGAGACATACTCTTGCAAGTGGCTTCACATTGGGGGGTGTTGCAGTTGATGACACAGGCCTTGGCAGTTGGGTCAGCAGGCTTGAAGGATGGGCACTGCTGTGGGCAGGTGATGTCCTGGGCAAAGCACTTGGTGAACGGGTCATTGCATAAGACCGACTGGGGCGGGAACACCTTCCCGGCCACGGCCGAGGGCGGAGGCGGGGCTGGCCCGGCTGGCAGCGGGGGCGACGTGGGGTCGCCATAGAGGTCAGCGTTGCTGAGGGCAATGGAGCTCAACAACCAGAGAAGGGTCACGAACATTGGAGTACTACGGGCTTCCATGTCTATACCTATAAACCGTGTTACTTGGCAACACTAGGGGTTAGTGGAAGGCCTGAAGAAACTTGCTTTCCTATGCTACTTATTTATAGAGAGGGGAAGAGTGATAGAAGTCAGGGTTTGACATATCAAAAGGAAAAAAAATAAATGTCATAAATGAAGTAAAGCTGGAAAACCTTGGATCTGTTGAATTGAATTGAATTGGAAATCGCAACTGGGGTTTGAAATTCCATCTGCATTGACTCTAGAGGAGGGAAATCTGCATACAATTTCTCATCTCAAGTAGAAACAGTTCTTCACCCTCGAGGAGCACAACCCCTCCATGTGCAGTCATAAGGAGTGCGCACGTGAAATTGCTTATTTTTATCTGCTCATTTACTGCACAGAATGAACCAGAACATCAAGAAGAGCGAGCTTAACTACAGTCAACTTTAAGGATGATATTAAATCCGGAGATGAGAAGACGGTCCGAGGACGGTGCTCCTTCTCATCCTGTGCTGTCAACCCAGTGATTCATTTCATCTCAGTAAGACTAAACATTCGTACATGTATACATACGTGAGTTGAGTTGTGCATACATAGGTCAACTGCTACATGAAGTTGAAGGAGGGTCTTCATGGAACATGCAGGGAAGAAGACATGGGCTGTGAACTGCGAATCAACGTAAAGGACCGACCAAAAAGGGGTTGAGATTCTCGTTCCAAACCTTGTATTCTACGGTTTGGGTGTAGAACAGCATCAGTTCTTTTTACTTTTGTGTCGAGAAGGCAGTATCTAGTGCTCTCTTCATTTGCGGTGCACGCTACTTGGTTGCTTAGTAATCTTCTTTGAAATTTGTAAGTTGAACTCAATATTTTCAGCCCACATGATAAGCTTAGCCAACCACATTCCAAAGTTAGGAAAATAGAAGATTAAATTTAATTCCACGGGGTGACTTTAGTGGCTGAAGGGACACGCGCATGTGTGTGAATCGAATACACACGGCACAGGTTCGCCTCGCTACTTCACCATTATAAACGACTTCACGTTTGACTTTGGCTCCTGTCTTACTTGATATATGAGGTAATAGAATATTTTATGGGTTGGTGCTGCTCAAGCGGTGAAAGATCAATTTATAAAGTGGTGACATGTCACGTGTGTGTGGGGAAAATTATCAAAAAAGGCCTAAATCTATTGTAATTATGTCAATTCAGTTCTAATTTTTTTTTTTGCCAATTGAGTTATAAATCTTTTGTATTTGTGCCAATTCAGTTCATACGGCCAACTTTGGCCGGGAATCGCTAACATAGACACCGATTGTCCTACGTGGCGCCGTCAATGCTGACGTGGACAACTTTTAATAATATTTTAATTATTTTATCTAATCTTTCTATTTTTTTCTTTTCTTTTTCCTTTTCGTTATTTTTTCTTCCCTTCTTATTCTTCCTCTAGCCGGTCGCCAGCCTCAGCCGTGGGAGACGCTTGCTAGAGGCGGGCGAGGTCGACCTCACCGGCCCTTGCCTTTGGCCGATTGCCGAGCTCCAATGACCGGCTAGAGAAGATAAAGAAGGCAAGAAAAAAAAGAGAAAATAATAATAATAATCCTAATTGTCCACGTCAGTGCCGAAGGTGCCACGTAGGACGACTGGCATCCATGTCAGTGATTTCCGGCGAAAGTTGGCTGGATAGACTAAATTGACATAAATTTAAAAAGTTTAGGACTGAATTGGCAAAAAAAAATTTTGAGACTGAATTAGCACAATTACAATAAGTTTTGGACTTTTTTGGTAATTTTCCCATTGGGTGTCTGGCGTGATTTAGTTTTCTTGGATCGAGTGACTTCCCTAAAGTACTTCCTAGCTAAGTCTATGGCAAATTTTCAACCGAGAACGACTGAGTGGAAAATCAACATTTTGACAAGGGGAAGAGAGACACGAAAGGTTTCACGCAGATATCATCCGATCACAAACCGAAGAGATCTATAAAAACACTTGGCATTCCTCTTTTCGTAGAGGGAGTTGCACTTTGCGTTTCCACTTACGCTTTCGGCTCTGAAACCGATAGCTGGAGTTCCATTTCTGCCTCAAGAAACTCATAGCTAAGTCGGTGGCTACGGCGATGGACTATTGCGCTAGTTCCCCTCAATGTAGCTAATGTAGCTAGCTAGTTACGCTCGTGCTCCCGGGTGGCAAAAGAAAACTTGTCAATTGACAAATCGAAGTTATGGAAAATGAAGTATTTACGTGACCACACCCTCGCAAATCTGCAGTAGCATCTCCAACGTGACCAGCTAGAGTGTAGCTTACATTTTGACGTTAGTTTCGATGAAGACTAGAGATGGTAACCGTCCCACCGTCATGTGGAAGAAACTATTATATAAGTGAGTCATTAATTACGATTGTCCACACATTGAAGAGCGGAGTTGGAGCATTAAACACGGAATTAAATGCCTAACATATTGTAATCCCAATTGCTCCATCCTAAGTCAGATCTCCACAGTCAAATTTACCCCAGGAAGTTGATGAAGAACAGAGCTTGAGCCTTGAGACAATCAAGACGATATTAATCTTATTTTTCCCACTGGTTTCTAGGTGGAGTCCCCACGTTCAAGAGTAAATAGCGTGCAAGAGAAGGAACATTGTCTGCCATCTTCGTCGAGCTTGGCCAGTTCGTTCAACATCATGTGAAAATGACATTAGATTACATGTGGGGATTAGCCATCTAGCGTTCCAATTGTTCGCTGATCATGGGAAATGTGGATAGATTTACCTTACCATTGATCTGATGCTATGCATTGATCTCTCTATGGTTACACTGACAAAGGAAGTGGCTACGATGATTCAGTAAGAGTCTTTGCCGAACCTCACTGAGATATACAGTGTATTTCAAAAAAGGTACGAAGTTGGATTGATTTGAAAAGAGAAAAATGTCAAAAAAGTCATAAACCTTTTAATTGCACCAACTTAGTCTTAAACTTTTTACATTCGTGCCAATTAAGTCCATCCAGTCAATTTTTTCCGGAAATCGCTAACGTGAACATTGGTCGTCCTTCATGGCATGGCCACCGCTAATGTTGACATTTTTTAATAATTTTTTTTTATAATTTTTTGGTTTTTTTTTTCCTTTTCTTTTATTTACTTTTTTTTCCTTTGGACTGAGGCCGGTGAGAGCCTGCAAGCTCTCACCTAACGGCCAGTGACCCTCGCCGGCACTCAGTTCAAAGGAAAAAAAAGTAAAGAAAAAAAAAAGAAAAAACCAAAAAACTTATTTAAAAAATAAAAAAATATATTAAAAAATGTTTACGTCAGTACCGGTCATGCCACATAGGATGACTAGCGTCCGTGTCAGCGATTTCCGGTCAAAATTGGCCAAATGGACTTAATTGACACAAATGCAAAAGGTTTAGGACTAAATTGACACAATTGAAAAGTTTTGAACTAAATTAGCATCAATGCAATAGATTTATGACTTTTTTTTAACACTTTTCCTGATTTGAAAACATCATGCAATTTACTTTACAATCCTCCTAAGATCAATAGCATTTTGTCGGATTTTCTAGTTATAGATAGAAGAGACTCCTATCCCTCCTATCTAAGTTGCATAAATGATGATGCCATAGAGGTGAACTAAGTCTCCTTTACTTTCGGACTAAAATATTCAATTAATGAATGAAGTGAGGTTTCACCTGTTTTCCTTTACTTCCCAATGAAATCTTGTTCTCAAAGCGAGTTTTGACTCATATGAGTATATCTCAACAGGAAATCCCAAAGGCTGTTTCAGATAATGACATTTAAGCTTTTGCATTAATAGTCAAACATGGGTATTAGGAAAAGGGCTAACTCCCAAAAAACAAGTATCAATTTTATCTTGAATGACAATTTTGATTCGAATTTTTTTTTGTTTAAATAAAAATCACTAATTTTTACTCAAGTCTCAAATCTTGCCCCCATTAACCAAACCTTGAGGTCTTGTAGATTGTTACAAGCACTTTGCAGGGCACAGCTTTAAAATCGCCTTCACTATACTTCCCAATAAAATCAATTTATTAATGTTCATCACTAGAGCCCGATATATTACACGAGATCAATTTATTACTATCCATTTGACGTAAACTTCGAAGTTTCGGGGGAGGGCTTGGGCTTGTTTAAAAAGGTTTTGGTTGTGAGCTTGGCTGATCTAGTTCATGGCGTTTCTTGATGGGCGGTGGTCCACAACTTTATATTACGACAAAACAGTGGAGGCTTGCTAGAGAAATTCAATTTGAAGATATTTTTTAATTTCCTGTGAACTGAAGGAGACCATGAACAATTTCACCATTATTCTTAAAGCTATGACTCAGAAAAGAAGACAATGAATCTTGTTTTAAATCCAACTAGCAAAAGATGTAGATTTATTGCTGAGGTGGAATGGTTATGCTGGACAATTAACGATTCCAAGTCAATAGGGCATATTAGAGATTTGAGTGAAATTTTGTAATTTTTTTAAGATAAAAAAAGTTCGAATCCCAATTGTCACTCAAGCTAAAATTAGTTTTTTTTTGTTTTTGAAATTAGGCCACGAGGAAACCATAAAGTACGAGAATTCTCTCTAGTGGCATCCTCATCTCGAGGAAAAATAGAAGAACCTAGTATATGTACCGAAGTTGAATATGAACCATTGAAAAAAGTGGGTCCTCTGTAGATCCTACTGGATCTAAAGTTCCAGATTCCAGATTCAATCTAGTTTATACAATGGGTTTGTGCAATACAAGGCCCACCTCATCTCCACTGAGCAAAAGGCTGAATGACACCATATCTAAAGTAGGAAGGACAAATCGATCAAGTATTAGGACAGAGGAATAAAATGCTCGTTCCAGATTGATGATACATCAGTGCAAACAGGTGAAACCAATCTACCATTCTCAATAAACGTTGCCAGTCATATGGAATTTCTCCATTCCAAGGTCTTAAAACTAAACATAATCTTAATATTATGGGGCGCGCCCAGCTACTAAGGAGGTCTCGAACCAGGTCGCAAACGAAACACACATGGGGCATAATGACCCAAATATTCTAAACCAACGTTCTGTTGTTAGAGCGCCGAGCATAAGATAGGTCGTCAGCGACCTTTCGTTTCCCTGATGATGCTACTGGTGACTGCGTTTTAGATAGGTTAGCAACAAAATTTTCTGCATCAGCAAGAATCACAAACAGTAATGAGTTCTCTCTACAAAGAACATCGACTAACCTATATGTATGATTAGGACTTCTAAAATGCACGAAACTCCTGTTTTGTGTCATAGCAACGATACATTGCAAAGCTGGTGAACAGACCCTCAACTGGCTAGCATGTCTGACAGCATCAGCACATGATCAATGAATTACAGGCTTAAGGGGATGAGCTCTCAGCTTGGACAAGTCCAGATTGGAATCAAGCTCCTCATCTAGTTCTCCGACAATGCTTCTGCGAAAACAGAACATGGAATATGCCAGTAACAATATTTTCATGAACAAAATTTACTTTGAGGCAGCCACAGAGCTAAAGAAAAGTAAAAAGCAGAACGGAGATAAAAATAAACATATGTACTGAGGCAATTCCTTTTGTTCTGCTTTCTGTTGTATTCATTAAAGAACAAAGGGGAAAGGAAAACAGGAAAGAACTTGAACTGAGATGGAGCATGTCATTACATGTTATCGCCCCTATTATGTAAAGACCAAGAACAAGTTGCTGCACACCTTCCTGCAATGAGGGAGAATGTTATTAAGGTTACGGGCTCAGTTTTCTGAAAGCCTATTAGATAACCAAAACTGCGACACGAGTAACATGGAACATAGACAAATCTTTGTGGAGTAAACACGCTCATGAGATTAATCAAGAATCAAATTTGTTGCCTGGTCAAAGCCCTATAAGACCCCATAAACAGGTTAAAATATTGCGATCATCATCGACTCTAGAATAATAGAAGTAGAAATATTAATGGCGAAATGTACCACAATGTTACGTCCATCATTAGCAATGACTGATATTGTTTCTGCGTACAGGAAATAACTATCATAAGAGCAAAACAGAGAAAAATAATTGTGCCTCGAGAAATTGAGTGGAAATGCACACGCAGAGCAGATATCCCCGTTGACATGAGGCATTTAGCTTCGACAGAGCAAAAATTAACATTTTAGGGTGTAAAGTAACAAGAAAGGACAGGCTTGAAACACAAGTCCACCTCAAAAAATCGCTGACCACACCATAAGCCAGACTGCTATGAACAATGCAAAGTTCGCAGTTGGAGATTAACAGAGAAGTGCTGCGTATGCCTATACGATTTTCATATACTAGCCAGTTAATCTTCAACAAGCATATTGCTATTACTTTTCTTGCGTAGCATTTATACATCCAAAGCTATGTGAAATGTGTAGCAAAATGTTCGTCCAAGCATATGAGAGCAAAAAGAATGGAAGCCTCCTTTCATTTCCTCAACGGTGAAGCGAGACCACGGTCATGGATCATCATCCTAAGCCTACCTCAATGGCCCGATTTATACTTAAACTCGCATCACTTTGGGTTTCTTCTCCTCCCATGTGACATCTTAAAGAAAATCAAGCAAGAAACTAAAGACGATAGTCAAGAGACATCCAATCAACAAGAGAATCAAGTCCTGGGCCTGTTGACATGTCACAGCTCCCAAAGCTAATAAAGCTGCTTCTGTAGGTCTGGTTACTGGTCTAAACAACATTGTCTGTACACAACGAATGCAAAGCAATAAGTCGCCAAGTGCTGAAAACCTATCCACTAACTGCTTGAAAGCAACACGATGGTGCTTGAAAGCAGCATAGTAGTGAAACATGCAAAACATTCTATACAACATTTGAAAAATTCGGGAGCAGAATAAATAGAAAATGGACTTGGTTGAACAAACTTACGAGACTGTGAAATCCACATAAGCCACTATTATATATGAAGGTCCCCATTTTTCTACTTTTTGGTGATTTATATAAGTCTTGTGAGTGATGAGAACCCTTTTTTTTTTTTTCATTGCCACAGTCAATGATTTTCATAAAAAAGTAAAATGTTGCTTCATAACACTGTTATGAGCCAACGAGAGAGAGAGAGAGAGAGAGAGAGAGAGAGAGAGAGAGAGAGAGAGAGAGAGAGCTTGATATGAGAAATTCATATGGGTAGTTATTTGCAATATCATAAGAGCAATACAGAAATTTGCAGCCAGTCCCATTGCTAGAGTAAATAATGCTCGGAGAAGACTATGATAACGAGGGTAATACATCTCAATTTTTTATAGAAAGGTGTCTTTTGAATGATAAGGGTAGCAAAAAACAAAAATGTTCATCATCATTGCTGAGATCAAACTCCATCCATGGTTATGGAGTGGCCGTACTCTTCACCAGAGGGAGGGGAGAGGAAGACGAAGCCACTCTGCTTCGTGAGGCCTGAATGAAGAGGAGGGACCCTCACGCGTCCCCAACGGCGGCGGCGCTCCTTCGAGCACTGCCGTCTGTCATTTTCAATTGGACGAGGCCCAAATTTACTCGCTAGCCTCTTGTGCAGCCCGTGAGTTCAGCTCAGCCTTCCTGGCATGGCATGACGAAGGGTTGAAACTGCATGGACCCACCACGTATTTATATAATCTTGTTGATTCTTGAAACAGATCGAATATGGCGATGCATGTCTTCGACGAGCGACAACTAAAGTTTGTGCTCGAGCACGACTCTGTCTTTTCCCCCGAACAGTATTCCATTTATGTTGTCTTTGCTTCCCACGAAACATGCTTTTCATCCGGAATTGAAGAGATAAAGAAAGAAAGAAAAGGCCCGATCAAAGACATAGCTGTCCATTTGACACAGAAAAATCATTGCCAAATATTCCTCAAAGCTGTCACCTTGTCATTAATTTTTTAACTCCTCCTTGTTCCGTCCGCTTCTGAGCAGAATCTTGCCTTGCACAATTCGTCAAAGGGTAACGATTAACAGGTATGAATTTCTGCAAAACACACAACCCGTTTGATTTTCCGTTTTCTTGATATCAACAAAAAGAAAAAAAACCCATGTGTGTTTTCCTCTTTTGTTCCACCATTGATCATGAACTTGGCTTCTAATGCATTGCTTGGCCTTGCCTCTTTGATTCTTGTAGCTCAGTTTTCGAGTATTACTCTGCGTGTACATGGTGTTTATTACGCTTATGAAAGGGATGATTTGGTGAGGCTAAGAGATTATCTGAAGTCTCCTACGTTTAACCTGAGAGCAAATTGGTCAGGACCACCTTGCATCAACAATAGTAGCAGATGGGTTGGTGTTTCTTGCTTGAACTCACATGTTGTCCACCTTGTGCTTGATGAATTGCAACTCACAGGGTCCCTCCCTCCTGGATTCCTGGAAAATGTGACTTTCCTGAGTAGGCTTAGCTTCAGAGACAACTCCATCTCCGGTCCCCTTCCTAACCTTACGAATCTCGTATCCCTGCAAGATGTGTTGCTCTCTGGCAACCGATTCTCAGGTCCAATCCCTCCAGACTATGTCGACCTGCCGAGATTGAAGAATTTAGAGCTGCATGAGAACAATTTGAGCGGACGGATCCCGCCTTTCGGTCAATTGACTCTGATAGGTTTCAACATCTCATATAATCGTCTCGAGGGCCCTATTCCACAAACTCGTGTTCTTCAAGAGTTTCCAAGAAGTTCCTATGATCACAACCCGGGTCTTTGCGGAAGACCCCTGGAGACTCCATGTGCGGTGGCACCTCCTCCATATATTCCACCAATACCAACTCCTGCACCCGGTCCATTTATTCCACCACCGGCCCGGCTAACGAGAGGTCTACGAGCGTGGATTATTACTGTTATTGCTGCAGCGGCAGTTCTAGTTCCTCTAATTACTGTGGTCGTTTTCATGTTCTACTGTAAAATGGGGTTCGGTAGAAAAGAGCAAGCAAGAGAAGACCAGGGAGGTAAGAATGGATGAGACACTAAATCTTGCCAATTATATTCCTAGAAACTAGCAGTGCATTCTCAACTATGCATTATCGCAAGAAATTTACAGGAACTTTCCGAGTAGTTCATTCATTTGTTTTATGCTTCAACAGTTAATAAATGAAAATAGCTTTTAGAAGGTCTTTACGCTCTGAGGTTTAATTTGTCAGTCAGAGGTTCGGTTGAGATGATGGAGAGGAGTAGACGTCATTTAAAGAGCAGGGAGGATCCAGAAAGGACAGTGGAACTTGATATTTTCAACAGGGAGATTCAAGCTTTCGACTTGGATGATCTACTGAGAGCGTCAGCTGAAGTACTCGGAAGAGGGAAACTAGGTAGTACTTATAAAACAATATTGGAGTCCGGTTCGATCGTTGCCGTTAAGAGACTCAACAACATGAACGGGCTGCGCAAGAAAGAATTCAAACAGCAGATGCATATGCTAGGAAACCTGATGCACGAAAACCTTGTCCGGGTCATCTCCTTTTACTATTCCAAGGAGGAGAAGCTGGTCGTCTATGAATTTGTCTCTGATGGCAATTTGTTCAAGCTTTTACATGGTTAGTTCGGATTCTTTACCCTTTCAATTTGATATTTTCCAAAATAACTTAAATCTTTTCCTCTGTCAAAAAACCAATAAAAGGCTTTATTGTTGTCGTTTTTGTTGTGTCATCTGTTGACGATATATGCTTGACTTTTAGCATTAGGCCCTGAATTCTATTTTGTGGGTGCCAGAGAACAGAGGACCTGGAAGAGTACCTCTGGCTTGGGACACGAGACTATCCATCATTAAGGACATAGCCAAGGGCCTGAGTTTCCTGCACCAGTCTTTATCATATCAGAAAGTTCCGCATGCAAATCTCAAGTCTTCCAATGTTCTTATCTCTCGTAGCAACCAGAACTTTTGTGCTAAGTTAGCAGATTTCGGCTTCTTCTCATTACTTTCACCGCGCAAGTCATTAGAAAATCTAGCAATTGGAAGGACGCCGGAACTTTCCCAGGGAAAGAAGCTTACACACAAAGCTGATATCTACTGTTTCGGAATAATAATACTAGAGCTCATGACCGGCAGAATCCCAGGGGAGACCACGGATGACAATCAGGTAATAGCCAGCGATATATCTGAGTGGGTGAAAGAGACGGTGCACGGCGAGTGGTCCACCGATGTATTGGATGTGGAAATATATGCTGCCAAGGAAGGGCACGACGACATGCTCAAGCTCACAGAGATAGCTCTGGAGTGTACGGATTTAGTACCAGAGAGAAGACCCGAGGCGAGTGAGCTTCTTAGAAGAATAGAAGAGATCGAGACCGGAAACCAAGATAACAACTGAAGAACCCAGGAAAGATCTTCAAGTTTTGCTGCTCTAGCTACAGATGGAACTAACTCTTTAACTCATTCTTTCAATGCAGATTCTGCGCCATTCAGTTTTACTCAACGGGCATCTGTATGATATTGATTGCAGATACCACATGAAAGCACTTCAACCCAACGGTGCATCTTTTTACTTAACACATATTGTACGTACTGCTGATCATCAATTGTGATAGTTTTGGTGATGTGGAGTACGAAAATTTTGATTCTGTGACCACTCAATAGTTATCAGGCCTGGCCTAGCTACCTCAATGAAATTCACGTTCTTGTAGTGTTTGGCAATCACTATTTTTGACGGACAGTTTAGACATTGATCCTGCTGTTCTTTATGTAATGAGCAGTAATAAAGCCTGTAATTCAAATCCATAAAGAAGTCGATATAATTCACTTTCACATGATTGGGTTTCCACCACTTCAATTTGGATCGAATTTCCTTCACGGATTAAAACTCGAGACATATTTCTATAATTTAAAGACGTGGCAATTCTAGTATGTCATGGCCATCTAAACGGATTTGTAGACGTTTTCTGGCTGTGTCCGATTTTTACTCGGATTGCTAGAAAACTTACTACATCGTATAAAAATTACTGACATAAAGATTGATTGACAGTCATTTGGGTGCATAGGAAAGCTGTTATCGCAGAGAGATATCATTCGATAGGTTCACAAGTCAAGTTATCAAGCACAGAATTTGTTTGCTTTCTTCAATAAAAGTTACAGCAATACTGGAAAATTGCTGGTTATGAAAACGGTCCGATCGATGTTGAAAATTTATCAACAATAGATAGGTCGAAAGCTAGTTTTCATGATCCAAGAATATCTTACACGACCCTCAGAAACTACTTGTTACCATTACGTGTATTCTCTGTCGATATACTTTGCCATAGAAATCGCATGAAATCTTGGAGATAAACACAATCGAATGGAATTGAATGCACACGAGATGATAAGACTAGAACGTGCTATATATATATCACAAGCAAACAAGAGAAAATGAAAGAAAAGAACAAGAAACAAACGAAATGATAGAGACGATGGACCGTCTCATGTTCAGAGTGAAAACGACAAGAAAACAGAAGACCAGATTGGTACGTGTCGCGGTTCATGCACACCAAACTACAAGTGTCCCGCATGAGTCCAAGGCTCAAGCACCGAGACACTTCCACCTCTTGGCCATGCAAAGAAGCAAGGGCAGTGCGAGGAGCCACCACCTTCATCGTCATCCACCGTCTTACTATACTCTGTAGGAGAAGAGAAGAAACGAAGCCGTGCGAGAACGAGCGGAACGAAAGGAAAATCAGAAGCGGAGAACGTGAATAGCTGAGGACGTGAACAGGGATAAGAGAAAACTAGCCGACCCCATGCCGCCACCGGTTCGGAGCTACGTGCTGAGGAGGGATGACGAGGCCACGCACCCGGACTCCATCCGGGCCGCCTTGGCCGAGTTCTTCTCCACCTTCATCTTCGTCTTCGCAGCCGAAGGCTCCATCTTCGCTCTCGGTATATCGTCATCCTTGTAATTTCGAATACAAGTACAATTGGTTTTCCTTCCTATTTGTATGTCTAGTAAGTAGATTATATGATGCGATTCATGTGCCACTTGCTATTCGTATGATCAACATGAGATGACAGAACTTGACCTGCTCATTTTCGTGGTTTGTCTAGTCCACGAGGTTATTAGATGCACACAATTTGATCTGCACCGTTCATTGATGTGAGAAATCTCTCAAATGGCTAGGATAATCACCAACAATTTAAGGGTCAAGCACCATTCGAATAAATTCCGAACCGTGTTTTTATACTTGATCGCGATACTTAATTTTAGTTTTAAGGAGGATCCGGGTGTTCATAATGTTCACTAGGAATATTAACCAGTGAAGCCAAGATTTGGGATGTGGTTCTTTCATCCTGGGAATGTATGTCTGAAGATTGCAATCTTTTTCCCCTTTCCAATTTTTTTTTCAGATAAGATGTACACAGACACCGGCACAACAGCCACCAGTTTGATAGTGATTGCGCTCGCGTCCGCTCTATCGCTCTCCGCCGCCGTCGGATCCAGCACCCATGTCTCTGGCGGCCACATCAACCCGGCCGTCACCTTTGGGGCGCTGATAGGAGGCCGGATCTCACTGGTCAGGGCCATATATTATTGGATCGCTCAGCTTCTTGGCGCAATAGTTGCCGCGCTCCTGTTGAGGCTGGTCACTGGAGGAATGGTACAACAACATTTCATGTGCTCTCCATAAGAAAACTTTTACCGATAGATGTCGATTACGTGTGAACAATTAAACAGGGGACCTTGACAATTCTTCTCATGTGTTTGGATGACATTGTTTTGGACTAGTGATGTTGATGATGTTTATTGGTAACTCACCTAGAGGTACTAAATATTCATATAAGCTATTGATAGACGATTTTATGACAATTTCCATTTGTGCACTGATTTAACAATTGATTCGAAATGCGACAATGCTCTTCAGAGACCGCTTGAGCTCATCTTGGCCTCTGGAAATATTCTCTCCAATAGCAAAATTAAACACTGTGAGAGTTCTGTTGTCCTTATAATCAACTCCATATGTCTGTGTATACCACATTGCAAAGCCTTGCCGACCATGTGGAACTTCCTGGTGTTTTGACTCTACCTCCGAAAGTCTTTGGATGTGTGGCTCTTATTCATTTGCATAAAAATCAACGGACCAAACTGGATCCATGTGCAGAACGGTGTGTGTTTATTGGATACGGATCAAACCAGAAAGGATACCGATGTTACAACCCCAGTACCAAGAAGATCCATGTCACACTTGATGTTACTTTTTATTGAATCTGAGTTCTTTTATCTAGCATCACTACTGAGAATTCAGTACCTCCGGAGACTAAAGCTGCTTGAGCACTTCCTTTTCCTGCCCCTTTTTCTGTAATTCTTCCCACCACTTAGGATACCCATAGAGTTTAAAACAAGTATCCTTTGGGTGTCGTGAATTCCCACAGTGAGAACACCCTCCATAGACAACGGTAGGTTGTTGTGCACCTCCTTTTTTTCGAACATCCCGATTCGGTGTTCCCCCTATCGTCAAACGGAGTCGAGAGTTTGCCCCCTCACGTCGAGAGATCATAGCCCCACCCGAGACTCCATGTTCCCTAGATGAGAGCATCACCGTTTGTCAAATATCTTCCCGTCTCACCCGAGCATATGCTTGCTCTACAGTGGGGAATGGTTGCATCTGTAGTACATCGGCTCTAACCTTGTCGAGTCGATCATCCAGTCCATCAAGGAAGAGATACACTCGATCTTCTTGAACTGTCGAGTTATATCTCGCAATATCATCAGCACACGTCATGGGATTTAGCCTACGAAAATCGATTTCTCTCCAAAGAGCCTGAAGATTGTTATAGTAGGTTTCAATTGGTCCTCCGTTCTGCTTTAATCGCGACACTTGCCGCTTCAGATCATATACTTGGGACGTATCAGTCCCATCAAAATAGGTTGTTGCTACCGACTCCCATACTACTTTTGCGGTTGGGAATCTTATAAAATTTCCAATCAATGCAGGTTCCATTGAGTTTATGAGCCAACCTTTCACGGTGGCATCTTCAATTTTCCACTTCCGGAGAGCAGGGTCAATCTGGGCCGGTTGTGGAATGTCACCAGTCAAGTATCCCAATTTATCTTTGCCGGAGACGTACATCTCGACAACTTGGGACCACAAGCCATAGTTCATGCCGTTGAACTTAATGGCAATTGTAGGGGTAGAGTTTTCTGTCGATGATGGTGGATTATGTTGTGCTACAAGTTGCTTCATCGTAGCCGTAAGATTCTCAAGGATCGCTGAGGCTGTCGATCCTTCACTAGATGGTGTTGTAGCTATTTCCCGTCCCTCCAGGGCACATGGCGGGTCATAGGATTGATCCTCTGATACCATGAGGAAAAGAATTCGTTCTTGTTCATCTATTCCAATGACTGAATGGAGATACATATACATGTTTGGCCTAAACTTCCTCCTACAAATATGGTAACTGGATATACACAAATAACAAAACGATTTCTTCTTATTTTGGTGCTAATCTATTTCTAAAATAAAATATATTCGTAAAATACAACAACCAGCTAATTGACAGCTCAAGCCAACAAAGATGAAGTTGCATTCACTATTAGGGTCGAGGGAAGTTTCATGGCAACTTGTTAAGCTTGGTTACTTGCCAAAACGATGGAACTGGTCCACCAGATAGAAAAAAAGTGGATGACACCATCTTGTGTTCTTAGCAATCAGTTGATGGGTTGCGTTTTAATGAGTAAATGCATCATTGGACTAAGAAAAAACTAAGTCAGACAACATCTCACCGGGCCCTGATAAGCAAGATTTGATGTGCTGACAAGAAAGTCTTGCGCGAAGACTCGACAAAACCTTGCGACCTACTCTCTTAAATCATCAGGAAAAGTAAGCATCAGCTTTACGTCCATTTCATCTCCTCATAAGACCTAGAAAGATAAAGAAACGGATAAGTCTGAACAATTTGAACGTCACGACCACGGTGCGTGTTTTGGTGCATGTGAACGAAAGGAGGGAAAAGAAAAGTCATATATGTACAGATATTCGACGTTCAATCATCCCATAAATTTATTGGAAATTGCGATGACAACGAGATGAAGAATGGTAGCAATCGGGGCATTCAATTCTTTTGCATTTTTTTTAGTTGTCGGTGGTTTTCGGCTGAAAGCTTGATAACCATTTGAATTTATAGACACTAATTTAATTAGCCCAATGTTTTTTCAAAGCGAAGACGACCCTTGCTCGCTTGGCTTGAAGGTCTACTCATCTTAGAGATCCTTAATCTAATTGGGGAGATGAATCTATTCAAAACGCAGACGGTTTTGGAGTCGAACAAAGACGACGATTGCGTTCTTGTTGGCTTCCCGATTCGACCTTCTATGGCGTTTCACTGTCAAAAAGGGTGGATGGATGACAAGGTCCTAGTCCAACCATGCACAGACATCAAACGCAAGCCGTAACATGCAAACGATAAACACACGGGAAAAAAAGAGCAGAGGAATCCCATAAACCGAACAAAAATATCTTCCGCGATTTTGCAATCGACCGAATGTGAAATGTGATGGAGTCGATGTTCGTGATGACATCAGAGGCAAGCTGTTGCCTCAAATGTCAAATCGAGTTTCCTCCATAAACATGCACGGCAACTGAGTCGATGTTCGCGATGCATCGTCATCTTTTGTCAGCTAATCTGTAGTGAAAGATATAGTCACCAAAGGCGCGGGCTATCATAGCAAAGAGGACGATGTCGAGATGATTGGTCGATTAACCCGTTGCAGAGGTTATGTGAAATTTACATTGCTAGAAAGAAGATGAAGTTGCATTCACTATTAGTGTCGAGGGAAGTTTCATGGCAACTTGTTAAGCTTGGTTACTTGTCAAAACGATGGAACTGGTCCACCAGATAGAAAAAAGTGGATGACACCATCTTGTGTTCATAGAAATCCTTTGATGGGTTTCGTTTTAATGAGTAAATGCATCATTGGACTAAGAAAAAACTTAGTCAGACAATATCTGACCGGGCCCTGATGAACAAGATTTGATGTGCTGACAAGAAAGTCTTGCGCGAAGGCTCGACAAAACCTTGCGACCTACTCTCTTAAATCATCAGGCAAAGTAAGCATCAGCTTTACGTCCATTTCATCTCCTCATAAGACCTAAGAAAGATGATAAGTCTAAACAATTTGAACGTCACGACCACGGTGCGTGTTTTGGTGCATTTGAACGGAAGGAGGAAAAAGAAAAGTCATATGTGCACAGATATCCAACGTTCAATCATCCCATAAATTTATTAGAAATTGCGATGACAACGAGACGAAGAATGGTAGCAACCGGGGCATTCAATTCTTTTGAATTTTTTTTAGTTATTGTCGCTTTTCAGCTGAAAGCTGAGCTGTTATCTTGACCTTAATCCACTTTTTGATTCGTATAAATACGACCAATTACACTCTCTGGCTCCTTCAGTATCTGACTGCACATTTTAGTTCGTTTTGGGAGAGAAGCAACTTCGGCAAATGGCTACTTCGTTTGGTTCGAGAGGGCGGTCCGCGGTTGGAGTTGTGGTGGTGATAGCCGTGTGCATTCTATATGCTGGCGTCGCCGCCTCTGGACGGCCAACGACGAGCGCTAGCATGGACCTGCTCAGTGCAAGAGGCGGAATCAGAAGAAAGCTTCTTAAGAACGGGCTCGGTTTGACTCCTCAAATGGGGTGTGAGATTACTACTCCTTTCTCTCTGGTTAACCTTCTTGTGATGGAACCTGATTGATCAAATGGACAGAACTAATTATAGTTTGAACATGAAGAAAGATGATACGACCTTTCTGTTTGTGGGCCTTGATTAGTATAGTCATAAGATGAGTGGGAAAATGTTCTCGTTTCCATCAATCATGCGAGATTCGCATGAGACTAAACATGCCACTCTCCTCAGTTTTTCACTTACTTTTAAGTCTTACTTTTTCAACACGAAATGGATCCATGAATGAATCTTTGCTTTTTTGTGGACAGTCAAATCGATTTTCCTTTCGGTCAAGTAGGATTTGATTCGCAACGAGAAGTAGAAACAGACATTAGAGAGCTAATAAATAGATTTGCATACTAAATGATTACTGGAATTGCAGTTTATCGGCTTCCCGTGATGATCATTTAACAGATGATTAAGGTCACCAATGTCAGGAAGCAGTTGAGAGCTCTAAATACAAATAGAACAGATCTTGCAAGCTGTTGTTTCAATATGGTTTATTTTAGCTGACACATTACATTTGGATTCCTGGGTTTCAACTTTGGGGCACCAAATGAGACAAAGTTTCACGTGATGCATGACTCTTGCGTGCATAAACCTTCCCTGGCTTTTATTAAATAGTTTTGCACACTGCATTTGGACTTTGGAGTGTACTACATTACTATTGCATTGTTTTAGAGAATCTGATCACGTTGTGAAGTCTTTTTCGCCATTTTCTTGCAACAAGAATAATTGCTATTTCTTGCATTGGCACATAATGATGTGTTCAGCACATTAAATTACTTCTATAAAATTCCAAGAGGCGTTTTATATAAGATGAAATGGAAAGCTGATTTTCTAGCTAATGTTTGATTTGATTTGGGCAATTTGATTCTGAGAGGTGAACAGATGGAATAGCTGGAACCACTTTCACTGTAACATCAACGAAAATTTGATAAAGGCAACAGGTAACTTGATTAACATACGCCAATGGAATCGATTGAAAACATTGTAGGATTTAATCTGGCTCAGCGACTTAACACCTCTCTCTCTCTCTCTCTCTCTCTCTCTCTCTCTCTCTCTCTCTCTCTCTCTCTCTGATGTCACAGCGGATGCCATGGTCTCATCGGGACTTGCTGCACTAGGATACGAGTATATAAACTTAGGTGGGTCGACATGTTTCTGCTCGTGTACAATCATAAACTTTATAAAGCATTGTCTGAATTTTTGTTGTTTCTGCTTTTTTTTTTCCTCCTTTTCCTTTTAAAGATGATTGCTGGGGCGAGCTTAATAGAGACTCTAAGGTACACTCCTATATCTCGTCTCGCTACCGTATGATAAGAGCATAAAATTGGTTAGGGTTATCAAAAGGAGGGAAATTCAATAATTGTGGCAGGGTAATATGGTTGCCAAGGCTTCAGCGTTTCCATCTGGAATTAAGGCACTAGCTGATTATGTTCACAGCAAAGGCCTCAAGCTTGGGATTTACTCAGATGCTGGGTATGGCCATAGCATTAACTCAAGCAAGTCTTTTTAAGTTCATTACATTAGGTGAAAGAAAACAGGAACAGAAAAAACCATCGTTTGATTACCACATAAACTTCAATCTGGTTTCCTTTTGTAGATCTCGAACCTGCAGTCAAACAATGCCCGGATCACTCGGTCATGAAGAGCAAGATGCGAAAACTTTTGCTTCCTGGGTAGAATTCAATAGTTTCTGAAGAATTGAGCCATTATTAGTCCGCATCGTCCCACTCACTCACGCACTCGCTCGCTCTAATGTTTTCCATCCGTAGGGGGTTGATTACTTGAAGTATGATAATTGTAACAATCCCGGTACGAGTCCCAAGGAAAGGTAGACAGTTTTTTTTTCTGATTTTTTGCGCTTTGGCTGCTGAATATCCTCATTTATGACATAACATAATATACCGAATTTAGTAAGCAGAATTTTGAAAGTGGTTCTGCCATTACGAATCAATGTTAAACTTTTCGTTTCCTAACTGTAACTACTTTGCTGAAGGTACCCAATCATGAGTAAAGCCCTGTTGAACTCTGGAAGAAAAATCTTCTTCTCTCTCTGCGAATGGTGAGTTGAGCTTTTTGCAGGATTAATTATCTCATCCATCATTTGCGTTTGTGCTCATAAGCAAGAGAGATCTCACTTTTTCCACCAAAACTTCAGGGGACAAGAAGACCCTGCAACTTGGGCTCCGTCCATAGGGAATAGCTGGAGAACGACCGGAGATATATCCGACCACTGGGACAGGTGACTGATTATAAACATAACATCTGCTGCATGTCCTAATTGCTGCATATAATCAAAAAAGAAAAAGGGATCTAATTTTTAAATCTCTCTGCATAATGGAATGGAACCAATCTTGAAGCCTATGATTAAGTTTCACTATCTGGGAATTAGTTTCTGTCAACATAAACCAATGACATCATCGACTCTGCGATCTTTTCAGCTCGTATTCTTACGACTTCACTTCTGATGTGATAAATAAGTAATGGAAATTTTCTCTTTGCATCATCAGCATGACATCTCTGGCGGATCAGAATGATAAATGGGCATCATATGCTGGACCTGGAGGATGGAATGGTAATGAAGTTCATCTTCCCTATTTTTTTTTTTGTTTAATAATTTTGAAAATCGAACAGAGAGATTGAAAGAGAGGAACTTGCAAGATGAACAATCAACAAGATTTTGCAATAAAATGTGTTCAGATCCTGACATGCTTGAAGTCGGAAATGGTGGAATGACTACAGAAGAATACCGTTCGCATTTCAGCATATGGGCATTGGTCAAGGTATGAACAAGACATTGAAATAAACGCGCACATAAGATAAGACGCGTTTTCACGAGTTTTCTTTTCGTGTTCTGAACAGGCTCCTTTGTTGATTGGTTGTGATCTGCGATCGATGGACAGCACGACCCTCGAGTTGCTGAGCAACAAGGAAGTTATTGCTGTTAATCAAGGTATCAACAAATTTTGTTTCAATGGAATGCCCTACGACCAATTTTTCCTCAGAAAACACGTTTGCTAAAAGCATTTTTACTCTTTTGCAGATCGCCTTGGCGTTCAGGGGAAAAAGGTTAAGTCAGATGGCAATCTTCAGGTAAACTTACTTTAGTATGATCACCCTTCCTTGCATCAATAGCGGAACCCGGAAACCAATCAATCAGTCATAGTACAGTTAAAAGCAACATTGCATATGCTCTACATCAATTCTCAATATCAATATGTGATGGTTTGCAACGCATAGGCCCTTTGCAGACATTTAAAAGAAAATAAATTGTAATAATATGCAAGTTCCCTATATTTAGGAGTGTAAGCGTGTCAATGCTTCCTCATCTGTTCAAGTTAATAAGCTAAAAAACTTTAAAGCAGTGGCTGGGAAACCACCAGTTACTTGGTGATAGATCCTTTACTTATACAAATTCAATTAATCATTAGAAGTTACAGAGTTAAGTTGATGGAAGAAACAAAAGTCTCGTATCTATCACAGCAATGGATTCAACTACAAGGTTGATTATCAGGTTAACAACCTAATATTCTGTTGTGAGATTATTAACATTGTTCATGACCTAAAAAGATGTTTCAAGCATGCAATTATGCATATTAGGGCAATCCACAAACAGTCATGCAGAATAAATACCAGGGTGACTAATAGATTACGTGAAGTTATCTTTCGGAAAAATGTTGTTCGTCCTATCATTTTTAGCATAAGCTTACAAAGTTCACAATCGTGCATCCAAAACATTGTAGGTTTGGGCAGGTCCCCTCAGCGCGAACAAGGTAGCGGTTGTTCTATGGAATAGAGGTTCATCGACAGCTACAGTCACTGCCTCTTGGTCCGACATTGGTCTCAAATCTACAACAGTAGTCGATGCAAGAGACTTGTGGATGGTGAGACTTCGGAACCAAACCTACTTGTTTATTTGTTGAACTGTGCTCACAAAAAATTACTGAATTTTGGTGCAGCATACCACCCAAAGTTCAATCAACGGACAAATCTCGGCAGATATCGACTCCCACGCTTGTAAAATGTATGTTTTGACTCCGCAATGACACGGAAACATCAGCAGAAAGGAAACTGGGTTGAAAATAAGGCTGTGCAGAATTAATTCTGTGCTAATTTGATACTGTTTCATCATTGATGTAAGAAATAAACCACTGAATCGTTGATATATAATGAGATATGATCACCAAGTTCAGCAGTCTTCCTATGCCTCCTATAAAGCAACTTCCCCCCCAAAAAAAATGAAGCTAGTGACTTACAATTAGCAAGACAATAAAGAAAAGAAATATGGCAGTAAAAAAGGAATTCGACGATATTAGCCGTCTTCAGATCCAACCAAGCCCCAATCAGACATCATGAATGGAGGTCCTCTTACATCAAATATTTCACATGTTGGCATAACAACTGCAAGAACAGCAGTCAGTAGCCCTTGTTTCCTCGAATCCTTGCTCTCATGTCAACCTGGGCAAAAAAATTAAACGAGGAGTTAGAGAGGTGCATTGCTTACAATCAAATGGTTGTAAGAACCACCATGTTCAGCTCCTCTCATGGAAATCATATCATACTCTTTCTGTCCTTGTAGGCTGTACCTATCGGCATAATGAATTTTCAACAAGTCCCCCACGCCCACCCCCACACCACACCACACCACCACCCCCCCCCCACACACACACACACACACACACACACACACACAAACACAAACACAAGCAAAAGAAAGAAACACTTGGGTAAACACATCTATCTGGCCACCAAGGAAGCTTCCAACATGAAAGAACTGACTTAGAAGTGTTGTGTGACAAAAGCTGGCTAAAACTCAAACTAACCAGTTCAAATTCTTCACGGTTTCTCTCTCTAAAAGTGGAATGGACACCCAAAATCCACATGGGTGTCTTTATTTCTCTCTGCCACCACATTACGTCCGTTGGTCATTAAACCCCTCCAAACTGAACTTGTCGACCCCGTTACAAAACTAAGAACGAAAATACCATACAAGTTTCAAAAACTAACTAGATAAAATTGACTGAGCATGTCTGTGAATAGTCAGAGAAATGAGAATAGTTACCACGAACCAAACCATGCAGCAAGCACACTAGGAGAAGATCTAAAATCTACTTAATGGCGGTTCACGAGTGGCCTCAAGAGAATGAGGCCCCTCATCCAATATAACATTCCCTAACTTGCTTTACTGTTGTGAATACCCAAAAGATGGAAGGGCAAGTCAGCTCAAGGGTTGAAACCACTCAAGATATTTATACTTCATGGCCAACTAAAACCAACTATACCATGCCGGAACTTTCAGCAACCGATCAAATTTCTCAGGGCGAACGTGCGGTCTTAACATGACTTCATTGATCGACCGGCACAACAGCGAAGTAAAGGCACGAAATAGTATCCATCCTCAGAAAGATTCATTTCCTAGACCACGTTCCACCGTACCTCTCCAAACAGCACAGTCCACCAAACATTTTGCACTTTGCCGCACGAGAAAACGAATGTTTTCATCACACCCATCAAACTAAAACTCCTAATTGAATCCATACTCGCAAAGGCAACTACTCCAGCATCAAAAAGCCCGAGGAATCTTTGCATAACTGTTTCCTACCAACTCAAGTCATGCTGTAGTAAAACTGCATTTAGCTAACAAAATTCCAGAAACACCCAGGAACGAATTCCCACCCAGAATCACACCCAAAAGAAGCAAATCCCATATCTTCCAATTTCATTACCAGGAACGCAACAAAACGTGCGACCTCCATTCATCATGATTCATCAGACCCTGAAAGCTGAAATTGCACAGAGAGGGAGAGAGAGAGAGATGCCTGGCCTCTCTTGCAATTGAAGTAAGTCTCCCTCAGGCCCACGCACTCGGTGGATATGGAGGGGCTCTTCTCCCCGGCGCATTCCCTGTACGACCGCTTCTCCACCTGGCAAAAAGCCAAAGCCCCAACCCCCGAAAGAAGCACGGTCAAATCGAAGGAGGACACGGGAGGAGGAGGAGATCGTTCCGAGGGGAAAACGGAGGGCCAAACCTTGACGCAGTCGGATTCGCTGAGGCACTTGACGAGCTCCATGGCTAGGCCCTTGCATGACTTCGACATCCTCAGCGTCGCTATACAGTTCAGAACCTCTGACTCCCTAGAGAGAGAGAGAGAGAGAGAGAGAGAGAGAGAGGGGTTTAGAGTTTTACAGAGATTGATTTACTGAGAGAGGACTCTCAAGATCAAGGAAATAGAGCTTGATTAATGAAATTTCGATTCCATTTTTTTGCGAAAAATAAATTATTTAAAAAATATTTACCTCTAAATCGAACTTGTATGGCTTATAAAAAGAAGGGAAAATTCCAATTAAGGACCTCACTTAGGGTCCTTTTCTCAAAAGAGGACTCAAAGTGAATATGGTGTCAAATAAGGACCTGAAGTGCCCAATCAGTCTCAAATGCCCGAAGTACTCAATTTATCTCGGGTAAGGCACGGGTTCGCCAGCCGATCAAATCTCGCCGTAGGCGAAACACGATTATTGTTAAGACAGCCAAGACAGTACATTCATCTCTGTTTTTTTTCTTTTTCTTTTTTTTTTCTCTTCCCTCCGCCGGCCATAGCCGGGGCCGGTGGAGGTCTCCGGCCTCAGGCGGAGGCTGCCCTCGCCCGACGCCGGCGAGAGTCGCCCTCGACTTGGCTAGGCGGGCGAGGGCGACCCTCGCCGGCGAGAGGGCGAGGCTCGAGCTCGCCGGCCATCCGGGCGAGCTCGGCCCGCCGAGCCGTGCCAGATCTCGGGGGAGCTCGAGCTCGCGGCCATCCGGGCACCGGCGAGCTCGCCCAGATCCGGGCGAGCTCGAGCTCGCCGGCCATGGCGAGCTCCGCCCAGATCTGGGCCAGCTCGAGCTCATGCCGGCCCTCGCCATGGCTGTGCGGGCCGGCGAGGGCGGAGCTCGCCCAGATATGGGCAGAGCTCGCCGGCCGAGCTCGCCCAGATGGCCGGTGAGCTCGAGCTCCCGCCGGTCTCAGCGAGCTCGAGCTCGCCGGCCATGGCACCCTCCCCCTCCCCTTCCCGCTCCAAGTTCTCCCCACGGAAGCCCCCGCCAGAGTCCCTGGGCTCCGCCGCCAGCCTCGCCCCGCCCGATACGGCCCTCGACAACCCGGATCTCGGGCCCTTCCTCCTCAAGCTCGCACGCGACACCATCGCCTCCGGCGACGGCCCCGCCAAGGCCCTCGACTACGCGATCCGGGCAAGGCCGGCCTCCTCGAGCTCGCCCAGATCTGGGCGGAGCTCGCCGGCAGCTCGCCATGGCCGGCGAGCTCGAGCTCGCCCAGATCTGGGCAAAGCTCGCCGGCCGAGCTCGCCCAGATGGCCGGCGAGCTCGAGCTCGAGCTCTCGCCGGCCTCAGCTCTAGCCCGGTCGCCGGTTGCCGGACCGGCGACCGGGGATGAAGAAAAGAAAAAAAAAATTGGACAAAATTGCCCCTATTTCGATGCCGGAAATGTCGGCCGGTCGCCGGCCGGAGAACATTTGGCCGGCTGGCGAGCTCAAGTCCTTATTTGATACTAGTTTGGCACTTTGGGTCCTTAATTGATACCTTGTCCACTTAAGGTCCTCTTTTGAAAAAAGGCACCCACCTTGGGTCCTTATTTGATAATTTCCCTAAAAAGAATGAATCCCGCTTAAAAAATATTTAGATATAAATTATTATCGATAACGAAAATAATTATTTTATCATTTAGCAATCATTTTTAGGAAATCTTCCTGTATATCATTCATTTTTTATAAAACAACCGGAGCCTTACGAATAATCAATTACTATTCGATGTTTATAGATTCACGCATGTTGTGCATCTTTTTCGCACATTCGTAGCACTCACTGATATGATCATTCCGAGCTCTCGACTAAATGATAATCTTTTCGTCGAATTCCCTTTTTTCTATCGCAAATCAGACAAGTGTTGGTGATAATCTTTCTTGTCGCAAATGAGTAAGAACAAGGAAAAAGACAAAAAAACATTCTAACCAAAAATAGAAATGGAAAAACAGGGGGGCGAACGCCTAAGCGAATCGTCGCAGATTTAAATTTAGTGCTCTATTGGAGCACGAGATGCGTTACACTTCGGGTTGATCAGTCCGGGGCCTGTCCCCGACTTGGATTAATCACCCACCGGAGCCGCGGTCTCTCGTTCCGACCACGCTGAGTAACTACAGACACACGAGCCGAGATTTTTTAAGCAGCCCCAAGGAATCGACGACGACGGGGAGATCGAACTCGAGAACTCTCGCTTGTCGAGGTGAAAGCCAGGGGAGATCGAACTCGAGTATTTGAAACGTGTTGGTCAGTGTCTATTACGAAGTAAATGAGGTATTCCCAATTATATACTTTACAATGTTGAACAGAGACAAGGGATATTGAAGAGTGAAGAATAGATGGTGTGACTATTGCAACAAAAAAAAAAAAGGCTATGCGACGTGAGCTCCTCAGCTGGAACATGTTGCTTTCTGCATTTCGATTTCATAATCCAATTTTACCAGCGGTCTAAATTCTGGATTGATCTCTACGTCGGTCCGCGCATCTTCTCGACAATGTGCTTTCTTTTCTCTTCGATACGACGTTCGAGTTTCTCGCCCATCTTTTTCCCCAGATCGAACATCCTCGCTCTCGTTCCCATCCTCTTTGGCCTTGCGTCGTCGTGTTCCATCGTCTGATCTTGATTCTCTGATATAATTATGGACCTCGACGGCGAACCGGCCACCGGAGTCTCTCCATTCCGTTGGGAGTCATCCCTGGGCTCATCGTGCAGTAATAACGGGGTTGTCAATTCTTGTGAAGATATGCTCCGCTTTTGAAGGTTGATCGCATTTGTAGGTCCCGGTGACACCAGGGGTTCGCTGGTTGATGTCGGCTCAGGGTCTGCATTGTTTAGCTTTTGCTGCTTGCTTTCGGAATGACCACTTGACGGTTGCCTACTTAATTCGGTCTTCAGTTTTGCCTCAACTGGTTGAGAGCAGGGCTTCTCAATCGTGGGCATCAGATCTTTGGCGTTCACCTTTTGCTGCTTGCTTTCAGAATGACCACTCGATGCTTGCCTCCTTAAGTCAGTCTTCGGTTTTGCCTCAACTGGTTGAGAGCAGGGCTTCTCAATCATCGGCATCAGATCTTTGGTGCCTTCTTGACTAAGCCAGATGAAAGGAGCAGCTTTTCGTGGAACCCAGTCATTCTTTTCCGCTAGCATCCATGGAATGCGTAGACTCTCGCAGTTAGGAAGCACCATGGTATCGTGTATCGAGACCTATACAATACAAGAGCAAACAAGTCAGGAATGCCCACGAACTTTTCCATATATGCACTTAACTGGGCCGAACTACTAGAAAGAGAGCACTTGAATAACTCCTAATGCCAATATTAGAAAAAGATGCGGCGCTAAAGAGCTACGACATCTTCCATGCCCAAATGTGCTTACTCTCTTTTTGTGATCAGAATGCATATGCAGCCTAAATATACAACAGAGAGAGCAATAATGCCAAATTGAGATTATCCACACCAGGGAAACTGGTTTAAGTTCGTCAAGCATAGTTTAGCCAAAAAATGGGTTAATCATAACCCTCTCTACTATATGGAGAGAGACAGAAGGAAATTGCAGATCCTTAAGAAATGGGCACACATCTACCTAAAGTTTAGAGCAAGACCATATGAAACAAACTTCAGACCGCAAAACCAAATCAAAAGTTGTCAACCTGCCTAATACGACCCATGAAAGTTAAACTGAAGTTTTAATGAAATACAAAAAACTTACATTTTAATGCAATACAAAGCCACAGAGTATGACCTTACCAAAAAAAAAAAAAAAAAAAAAAGCCACAGAGTATGCATCCCTATTCTACTGCATTTTAGAAACGTCGACTACTACGACAACAATTTAATACTGCAGCAAACAAGATTCCATTAACCATCTTCACAAAATATAAGAACTGCCGCTGGGAATTTCAATACCTTGAAACGGTTTATTAGGAAAGAAGCAATGTGTCCACTAGTGACTCTGTGTTCACCAACAGATGATTCCAGGTTAAATTCTATATCAGGCATTGACGAGAAACCAAACCACAGTTGATCTGAAGGGGGTGGCTTTATCTGCACCCGCAGTGTTCCTCGAAGAGAAGCCACCTTAATCCGCAAAGTTAATGGCACCTTAGATTGGAAATTATCAGTCAGTTTGAAGTCAATACCTGTATAAATGGGAGCAATAACTCTTAAAAGGAGCAAGGAAGGCACTTTATGTTGCATCATCTTGTTTTTTAGTTTTGGTAAACATCGTTCACTCTTTTACGACACTGGTCATCAAGACAATCAACAAGTGCCAGCTTAACCGAGAGTACCAACCTGTGAGACCTGTTTGGCAATTGTATTTAGAATAGACTTCCACCTGGACTTGTGAGTTGCTGACATATTGCTCTTAGAACTCTTCATTCCCTCTGAAACTAGATATATTAAGCTACGTTACTCCCAAGTCCATTGTCGCAAAATAACACTGAGGATATCATTTATCAAATCATCTAAGCAAAAAGTTCAAAATATCATCCACGAAAGCAAAGTACCTATCCAAAATCTGATGATGTGAGAAGAGACTCTCTATAATGTACAGATATAAACATAAGTTCCCAGACCTTAAAAGAAAAGGTTAAAAGAATACAAGAAGCAGAAAAGGATTGATTCAAGAGATCAATCAGTCTTCAAGGGATATAGAAAGCTACCTAGTTCAGTAAATAGCTCCACTGAAATATATTTTCCTTCTTAATAAACTCAGTTAAAACATTGCCTTCATATACATCAAAGGATATGATTCACTCTGTTATTGGACTAAAAGCTTTTGAATCGGTGCTCGAATACTCTTAATTCTTAACCCTACCCTCTAGAAATCCTTCACCCTCAAAATAACTTCTTGCATATCAGCACTAGCATTAGATGGGATTACGATTAGGATTAGCATGCACGTTTATAAGGAGTGAGGACAAATTGTTGGCCCATTAAAAAGCTGCCTTCTAACTTCTTCAAAGCATTAATACCACATTGCCCAGCAATGATATTCTCTTGAGGTAAAGAAAAAGAAATCGATAAAATCCTGAATTCCAAAGCGATGTACCTTCAATTTAAAAGACAACGTGAAAACCCTAGAAGAGATTTTTTATACTGACCTAGTTTAGGATCTGATTCGCCCTTCTCCTCCAATGCATCATTTCCCCCTTCAGAAAGATTCAGCTGCTTTCGCAAATGCTCAAAATCTTCAAGAAGATCTGGCGAGACTTCTTCAGAGTTTGATATATCATTCTGAAGATCTAATTCATGAACTTCTAATCTTGTTTCAATGTCCAATATCACACCACCAGAATATTCGACATCTACTTCAAAAGCCCAGATTTCACTCATGTCTTGGGGAATAATCCTCATGCCATGGATATAAGGAGGGAGATCTCCAATTTCAATATCAGTGCATAAGACTTCTCCAATATAACTGGGAGTCCTCATGTTGGACAGAGTCCTCTGCCACACAAATTGTTAAAGGAAAAGAATAATCAATATTTGTAGTTGCGCCTATGTAATACAGGATAGAGAGAGAGACTAGCATCCAGAGAGAGAGACAAGATCCCCGACATAACATTTTGACTTTGTTAGATTAACTCCTGCCCTAGCCTTTTCTATTGTGATTGCTTCTCATACTTTGCTAGGCAAAACTCATGGAGATATGGGGATACAGGTGATGCAAGCATCCATGACAAGCTCAATGGACCCATGAAACCCAAACCAAGAAAATGAATGGAGTCAAAGATGTCGCAAGCTTTCAATGATGACCATATTTATTCATACTTAACCATGCAAATGTTGGAATAGAACTACTGCCCCGTAATTGGAGCTCAACTCAATTTCATATTTGTGGAGGAGGTTAACACAGGATGAGGGACCAAACAGTCCAGAAAAGGAAATTGACAGGGATCCAACCAAATCTAGAAGTACTTTCTTTTCATTTTTCTAATAGCTTGGGCATTTATATAGAATTTGGATTGGGGTACATCCCTGCAAAAAAGGTCAAGAGTATTCTAGCATAATCAGCGGTTGTCTAGCTTTTAGCCTTTCGAGATGTTGACTGAAAATATTCAGAAATTGGGTCCGTTCATATTCTGATATAGAAGGCAAGGACACTGGTCAACTTTCCCAGCCTAGCATTAGGAACATGTATTAGTCCAAGTGCCTTCCTTGACAGAAAAAGAGTATGATAGATATAGCTTCAGAACAGAGACCATAAAAGCATTCCCCACAATTACATATGACTGTTGAGAAGTCATGAATCAACAAGCAAAGAAACACTCAACAATACCCTGCACGGATCACACTTCACATAGATTACCTGAATTCTAGATTGTAAGGATCTTTTAGTCTCTTCATTACTTTTGGCATCAAAGAAGAGCCGCGAAATTAGCAAGTTCCAACAAATTGTTCCCTCATCTACTCCGAATTTGTCATCGGAATCAACATCAGAGACCACAGAGATATGACCCTGACTTCTGGAGTGGGGTAAAGATAATGAATGTTGAGGAGGAGATGCCCTTAATGAACCAGGAGCTGAAGCAGAATCTTGGTGACCGATAAGTCTCTCATTCATCTTTCTTTCTTCACGGCTAGATGATGATACCCAAGATGACTTATTCTCTATGCCAGCCTTAGACACCTTCTTTGTAAATTTTTTCCAGAATAAACGAACCCTTGAGGAAGAACCATCGGTCCTATTTTCCCTATCAATCGACTCAGTATAGACTGGGGCAGGAGTTTTCATAAATGATGGATATTCTTCATGTAAAGACGCCAAGTAGCTCTTAAATGTGCCATCTAACATGGAAAACCAGGTAAGTCTTTTTCTGTCATCACATGAGGCAAGACGAAGGGCTTTGCACCACGACTCCTTCTCCCATGAAGTCTCAAGATAAATGTAAAAGACCTTGCTTCCTTTATAGATTGCTGAGCTCTTACTTTCCAGTTTGATAGGGTACCTTTTGGCCCTGCGGATACATCTTAACTATGAGATCTTTGTGTTTGTTAAACCGATAATGCTACAAAACTGAAGAAAAGTTTACATCACATTTAAGACCCACACAAACACAGATGAATGACATTAGATTTCCATGATCAGATGGAACTTTCGAGTGGCAAAGCATAGAAAGAACTTGCAGAGCATAGTTAAATGGGATAGGCAATGTCACCAGTAATCAAAAGTATCAGAAAGACATTTTAATTACTATACAGTAGTTTATACACCCACATTGTGCTAAAATAATGTGGCAAAAGAAGCTCATCAAGTGGCGGCAAAAGAGCTAAACCAACCATGGGTGCGATGCTTTCTCTTTATTAATATCTAACATACGTACACGTAACCTTGTGATTTTACGGAAAAAAAAAAATTTTGTGATTTGACATTGTAAGTGATGGCACTCCCGGGGCACATTTCCCACGTATATACGTCAACATACTTATTAAAAGCCTGTAAATAAGAACCACATTTATGCAATATAGAAAACTAAAGATAGCTTCCTAATCCAGCTGGACTAAGTAGAAAACATGCAACATATAAGAACCAATTGCTATCTTAGGATGAAAGAAGTGGAGCAAAAGTTCAAGGTTCACTATATATAAGTGTCAAAGACAGCACTCATCAGAAGCAGAAAATAAATGGTGGAAAATACACAAGTATTGACGTGCTAATAATTGAAAACTAACGTTCACCAGAATCAGGAAAAACAAAAAGGCCAGATACAACAAGCTGGGGAGCATCTATTGGCTTTTGGAGAGAAGTGTATGTGTTATTCCATCCAAGGGAGGCAAGAGAAGGAAAGATACCATTTTCTAGAAGATAAGTCTGTTGCTGAAACGGCCTCAATAACACACCCCTTCAACGGTATAGCAGTGGGAGAACCATCTGCTTCTGTAAAAATGAGCGAATGGTCCTTGATTATGGCATGCTTCCGAACAGGTAAAACCTCAAAAAAGTCGTTTTTCCTCTTTTGCTCACGCTGTGCTTTCTCTACCCGACCTTTTGGAACTCTTTCTGGCTCAAGAACCCAAACATCCCCCTGCAACACAGATAGTGAGTTAATAAGGTAAGTAAACAAACTAGTAAAGACTCCAACCTGGAAAAAGTATGTCCCCCTTTTGCTATACTATTACAAGAGTTGTCTATCTCTCAAAATGTCAAGCATAAACTGAAGAAAGATCAATCAGCTGCTAAAACAATCAAACGGGTTGAATTGACGCAATATCTACAAGAGCACAAACTCAAGCATGACGTAATCATTATTCATTCTGGTCCATGTCCCTATAGTTCAAAACAAAGAGATGAATCTTAGACAAGATTAGATACAACAAAAACCGATATGGGGTACTACACCCAAGCTCTATAGGGCGTGTTTTGAGACATACAACGTGGCGCCAGTCATATTGTAGTGTGCACGTATCCATTTATAAGATTATTATAATAATTAATTGGGAAACAAATAAAGCTAGTAGGATTAAACTTCTCCCAAAAAGAGCACCCGTTCTTCTTCACCTAGAGACGTAGATGGGCAGCATTTTGAGCATTTACTGTCAAATTTTGTCATGTCTCGTCAAAACCATGGGGAAACCAACAATTGCATAAGACGTATTGCCATCATATTCAGCTACTGCACAGCCCCCATTACAGGCTCCCACGACTCTTCTCTCCATTCATCTTAAGGACATAAAATGGATGCCAACATGGCATACGCAAACAGAGGTGAATTCAGCACGAGTGATTTTTCGAACCCGTGCTCGTGCACCGAGCTCCTCGAGCTCCCAATTCCACATGAACATCACCCAATCCACCTCCATGTTTAGGGAGGATGAGGCCATATCTTCTATCAGCTAATCAAACAAGCACAACACAGCCATGATACAAAAATGGGAAAAAATAAAAACAAAAAACAAACACAAGAAAGAAAGCACAATTCACGAATCACGCGGACACCGGAACCCAAGAACCTGCCCGTACCTGCTTGCGGCGAGCGGAATCGAGCGATTGCTGGTGATCCACGTCGCGCGCCGCCGACAGAGACGCCTCCGACTTCCCTACCTTCCGGCTCAGCCGATCAAGCAAGACCAGAACCACCAGGACCTCGGCCGCGACCATCGCGAGCGCCCCGAAGACGCACCCGGCCAGGAACGCCGCGAGCCCCAGCCCCATGCCGCCGCCGACGGACGCCGCCGCCGCCGCGGAGCCCCGACGCCCGGTTCCCGCCGAACTCCGATTCGCGGCGACGGGGGGAGCGCGAATTGTGTGCTTCTGCTTCGCGCGATCGGCGAGAACGGAGAGAGAGAGAGAGAGGGAGAATGCGGATGACGGAAGAATCCGATGCCGGGGAGAGTTGCAGTGGAGTGAGAATGGGTTCGATCTCGGAAGAAAAGTAGAGAGAGAAAGAAGAGGGAGGAGAGAGAGAGAGAGGGAGTAGAGGAGGGGAGGAAGGCGCGTAAGATATTGAACGGTGGGGATGTTGACGGCGACTTGGGGAAGCTTCGTAGTCCCGGGGCCCGCCACTTGACATGGAGGGCCCCGCTCGTCTTCCTTCCTTCTCCACTGCTTCTTCCCACCCAATTGTTTATTTTCTTCTTGGAGAATAATTACTTAAATGGTCTATAAACTGTTCGTCGATGTGCAATTTGATCCCTAAATTTTAATTTATTTAATATGATTCCTGAATTTCAATGTAATACTCAGAATTTCACCAAATTGAAACAGAACATCGAGCAAGATAAGCCCAAAACGAGACCGGCGAAAGCGAAAAGCAAAGACGGGCAGTCTGCTTTACCTCGCACGAGGGCTTAACAGCTCGAAGATCTTAACCAGTAATTTGCTTGTTTTTCTCTGATGCGCTGCACTTCTCTCCGCTTTTCTAAAGAGGGGGTGAGCGGGAGCTTGAAGACGAAAGAAACAAAGGAGATGATACCATCTAGGGTTTTTTTAAGTCACGGGCCGACTGTAAAAAAGCCCGATCCGGACCGGCCCGGCCCGAAACAGGGATAATATATGAAATTTGGAGCTCTTACCCAACCCAAAGGAGGCCCGCCCCGAAGAAGCCCTAAATTTCCGGGCCAGGCCGGGTCGAGCCGGTCCGGTCTGGGTCGGGTCGAGCTTTATTGACATCCCTACTCAATATGGTCCTTGAACTCCTAATATTTTGATAAGTGTTCAATTTAGTCCCTGAATTATATTCTTGAATTCAATTCAATCTCTGGATTATCTAGTTCATGGATTAAATTAAACATGTTTGAGAAGTTTAAGGACCACATTGAACAAATTAAAAGTTCATGGACAATATTGCACATTAGGTTAAAGTTCAGGGATTACATTGAACAAGTTAAAAATTCAAGAATTATATTACACATCGAGATAAAGTTCAAGGACAATTTGTGTCATTTTCTTTTCCTTTATGATTTTTTTTTTGCTATTTTTTGCTTTGGAGAAAAAATACAACAAAAAAGGTGAGGAATTTTTCAGCCATGGAGGACAGGAATTTCAAGGTTGCGTTAGAACAAAGTTTCGCAACTCTTAGGAATTTTGCAAAAATCACATTAACGTACGGGAACAACCGAAGATAAGGACGGACCGAAACTTCCTTTTATTTTCTTTAGACTGACCGATTGGAATTTGTCCAAATGAGAGGTTCGAACTCCGAATGGTCCACCGTTGCGATGATGTGATAAATAATTTGTGCGCCGGAAAGATGCCCGAGTTCCCAACCGTCAACTCAGATTAGGATGGGCCGAGCAAGACGTGGTAGAGATGAAATTCGCAGAGTGTCGAAAGTTCTCAGTCGGCAAATGCAGATGGTCGATGAGATGATTAGTATTGGGTGACGGCAAGAACGAATGAAAAATACTTAGTCCCGAGACATGGCTGTCGGTGAATGAAGTTTGGTTTGATCGGCAACGGGGCCACAACTAACACAAACTGTGACGAGCAAGGTGCCAGGCAACTCCTACATGAATAATGGGTTAGAAAATTTTCGGACGCAGTTCGCTTTGGTGAACTGGTGTGGCTATAGAGAAAAGGGACTCACACGATCATGATGGAGTGAAGCGGTAGATCTCAAAAGCCACTAACCATAAAGGTTGAGAAATATAGACTGTTATAATAGTTAGGAAGTGGAGCTGCAAGTTGCAGAAGTAGGTGTCGACACTTGGGCTTGAAAGAGCAGAGAAGCAATGACTGTCGAAGTAGTGGGTTAACTGATTATAAATGCATGTTGCTGAATTTTAGGAGTCACGTGGGATGTGTCTTTTTTCTTTATAACCGTTGCTAATTATCAGTAGTAGTATAAATACTTGATTCATAGTTTATGGTTAGGATTGCCAATCAATCAATGAACACCAGTTTTTCAATTTTACTGCTTGTTGTTACATTTCAATACCCTTTACATTATGACAAAAAAAGTACCCTTTACATGACTGGCCACAATTGTATTTGGTCTTACTACTTTCAATTTTCTTATCGATTAAGTTTCCTATCTAAGAATCAGCAAAGCACCCTTCGCATCATTTGTCGATTGGTTCATATACCCATTTTTTTTTTTCGGTCAAAAGAAATCCTACTCATTTCATTAACCAACAAGTTTAGAACAAGATAGATCTGCATCTAAACATAAAGCATCCCATGGGGGCTGAGGGTTTTACATAACCAATTTGATGGAACGGCTTGTCTACGTTGGGCCTTAGCAAACCAGCCGGCTGTCAGATTAGCTTCGCGAGGGAGGTGGGCATTTGAATGGAATCGAGGGCCAAGCGCATTTGGCGATCATCAATCAAAGCCCGTACTTTTTCTTTGGTCGAAATCAAAGCCCATATGTCGAAAGATGCTTTGTGGACGCTTTTCCGCGAAACACACACACGCCTCGTCTCATTTTTCGGCATTAACCATAATGGTCGGGCGAAATTTTTGGCTTGCTTCGCTAGCTCTTCCTCTCAATCATGTCGCGATATTTCGCACCATAAAATTGACCTCGAAAATATTGCTGTTGCATGAATCTAACTCTTGTACCATCATGTATCCAATCCGTCAGTCGTGTGATAAATCAAGAGGCAAATAATGCCATTAAGTCCTCGTTTCAGTGATAGCTCGTTTCTATCGATGTTCACAGAGTCCTGGGTTCGATTCATGTCTTCGTTTTCCATACGTTCTAGTTCGAAGAGGAAGAAGAAGGATTTGTCAAGACAATATCCATTGATCTCTTCCCCCTTGGGTGAACATGTGTGGACACCATTCCATCAACATCCAATCCATTCGAAAGCATGAATCTTGAAATTATTCATGCATGTTCTTCATGGAAGCCTTTTAAGACCACGCTCGGTCAAATGGGGGAAACGAGAAGAGTCTGCTGGAGGATGACGACTGATGAGCTGCCCCTCGTCGTCGTCTTCATTGGACCGGGCCGACCTGGCTTGCCTTGTGGATCAAGCTGCGGGCCGACCTGGCTTGCCTTGTGGATCAAGCTGCATCCCGTCTGCTGAATGCGCTCTAGAAAAAGCCCCTTTCGTCGCTCCGACTCCAAAATTCATCGTCACCCCCAAATCAAGATCCTGCTTTCGTCGATCTCCAGTGATCGATCAATCATCTTCAACACGACCCAGACCCAAATCCTCCGATCGAATCATACCCATCTCCGATTCGACCGAATTTGAATCCGCCACCATGTTCGCCGCCGATCCCAATCGAAACCTGACCTCCTCACCAGTCGCCACTAAGTTCTTCTTGTTCTTGCTGTTTCTGCTTCATCCGCATCTTCAGCTCGCGCATGCCAAGAAGCCCCACGCCATCGCCTTCCGATCTCCGGCCCTCTACCCGGAAGCCATGGCCTGGGACCCGTCGGCCCAGCACTTCCTCGTCGGCTCCCTCCGGAGCCGCTCCATCCACACCGTCTCCGACGCCGGCGTCGTCGAGGGCCTCATCCACGACGACTCCCTGCCCCCCAACTCCACCATCCTCGGCATCGCCGTCGACCGCCCCCGCAACCGCCTCCTGGCGGTCGTCCACTCCGTCGCCCCCCTCCCCCCCTTCAACGCCCTCGTCGCCTACGACCTCCGCTCCCCCCGACGGCGCCGCCTCTTCCTCTCCCTCCTCCCCCCCTCCCCCTCCGGCGAGGACGGCGCGAACGACGTGGCCGTCGACTTCGACGGCAACGCCTTCGTCACCAACTCCTTCGCGGACCTCATCTGGAAGGTCAGCCCCGACGGGGCCGCCTCGATCTTCTCCAGATCCCCGGCGTTCACCTCCTTCCCCGTCGACCGCGACGCGCCGCACAGCTACTGCGGCCTCAACGGGATCGCCCACGTCGGCAGGGGGCACCTCCTGGTGGTCCAGTCCAACACGGGGAAGATGTACAGGGTCGACGCGGAGGACGGCGCGGCGAGGGCCGTGCTGCTCGACAGGGACCTGCCGCTGGCCGACGACGTGGCGGTCCGGAGGGACGGGGTGGTGCTGGTGGTGTCCATGAACAAGCTGTGGTTCCTGAAGAGCGAGGACGGGTGGGGGGAGGGGGTGGTGTACGACGAGGCGGCGCTGGACGCGGAGAGGTTCCCGACGTCGGTGGCGGTGGGGGCGGAGGAGAGGGCGTACGTGCTGTACGGGCACGTGCTGGAGGCCATGTCGGCGGCGGCGGCGGCGGCGGGGAGGGAGTGGTTCGGGATCGAGGAGGTGAGGTCGGAGAGGGAGAGCCAGGACGAGAAGGTGTGGATATACGTGCTGCTGGGCCTGGGCTTGGCTTACTTCATGTTCTGGAGGTTCCAGATGAAGCAGCTCGTGACCCACCTCAACAAAAAGACCAATTAGCCCCCGGTCCTCGCCCTTCTTTTTGAGCAAATGTTGTTTCCTTTTTTTTTTTTTTTTTTTTTTGTGGTTTTTTGGTCTTTTTGATCTTTGTTTGGCCTGGATTGGCTGATGATTAGGTTTGGTTTTGTGGAGCAGTGATTAGTGAATTCAGAGCACGTTGGATTTTGTTCAAAGTTTGGATCCTATGCTGATTAGTGAATTCAAAGCACGTTGGATTTTGTTCAAAGTTTGGATCACCTAAATGGCAACTCCTATACGCTTACGATCGGTGCTTTAATTTTGGCAAACACTTCAATTTTGTTCGTCGAAACGTGGAGAATGATTTTCTAGGCGATTGATTGGCGAAACGAAATTATGAAATGAAAAATGACGAACCAAATTTTATTTTGTCTCTGTACTGACTAAGCCACCGCGTGGTTCATCGGCGTCGCCATTAATTTAATCAACTCGAATCGCGATCGAATGTGAAGTGGCCTCCTCATGCTTCTGCTTCGACCACATCCGCCATGTGGCTCTTCATCTTCATGCCACTCCATCGACTACCAATCACCGGGCTCTACCCCTGAAGGCATCGCTTGGGACGAGGCGTCCCGTCGGTTCCTGTCGGCTCCCTCCAAAGCCGCTCCGTCCATGCCGTCTACTCCTCCGGCACAGTCGCTATTGCCTCGCCACCATAATTACACCCAATAGCTCACGTAGTGTTTAGCCCCACAATTTCTCACGAAATAATCTCTCAATCTCGCAAAAGAATTGTACACAAATCTTAACACAAGATTTAATCGCTACGAACACTTAAACTCTTGGTGTAATTCCACGAGTAAAATCACGAACCCACAACCAAGCACTCGCTTGCGGAGCGGTGCTTCAAGAAGTCTTCACTTCACGTATTTTTCAACAACAACATGCCTAAAGTGCCCACTGAATATATTTATAGCCAAAAGAAGAACACCTTCAGAAGCCCACGTCAACATGGATTAGGAAATCATGTTATTCGGTCAACTAGTCAAAGTTTGAACTTTCCTCTTTTGACTTTTCTTTGGCCGACTTCAAGTAGTGTTTCCTTCCTTTCTCTGACACAATTGGACTTTCCTTTTCTATCCTTCTATTTCACGATTCGGACTCCAACGTGAGAATAACAAAATTGATGTGTCCGTATATTTCCTTTTACTCGATTTCGGAGATCCGCAAAATATCCAATTCGGAATATTTAGATTTTGCTTTGGGTTCAAATTCGAGATATATTTTCAACAATCTCCACCTTGGCTCGACGTTTGAGCCAAGTCACAATCGCTTTGATAGAATCCGAATTTCGCTACTACTCTCCCACAACCCCCGATGGGCTCAATCGCCACAGATGTCTTTCAAGTCCAAGTCTCGCTTGAACTTTGACATAGCCGTGGACCTCATCAGAACACCAACTCCACATGCACCTTTAACTGCTCCACAAGGATTTTTCGACACAACCTCCCCAATCGCAGATAAAGCAAAACCATAATTGCATCCATATCTGTCAGGAGATCGAATACACACCTTGTCAATATCAGCAGTTACAGCAACCGTTGGCTCAATAGGCTCCACCTCGCTACAAGCACCATCCATGTCGATTATTTCGCTAATAACCGCTACCTCAGGAGTTTCTGGTTGCAACTCCACCTCAAGCTGAACACCGTTCAGATCCGTATGAACACTGCTACTAACACTCCTAGTCAGAAGTATTGGAGACTCGTCAAATGTAACTTCTCTGCTGATAATAGGTAAATTTAATTCCGGGCACCACAACTTATAGCCCCGCTCACCTTGTGCATAACCTAGGAACATGCACTTCATTGCCCTTCCATCGAGCTTACCATCATTAACTCGAACATAACATGGGCAACCAAATATTCTAATAACAGAATGATCAGCAATGTTACCTGACCACACTTCTTCGAGAGTCCGACATCCAATCGCAGTCGATGGGATCTATTCTTCAGGTAGCTCGCCGTACTAAGCGCATCCGCCAGGAATCTCCTAGTCATACCAGCACTAGAGAGCATTTTATGGGCCATCTTTAGTAATATTTTGCTCGTCAACTCTGCAACCTGTTGTGGTTTATTGGCACTAGTGCGGTGTCTCACTATGCCTTCCTTCATGCAGAATTCGTTTAATAGTTTCGAGCAAAACTCCATACTACTGTCAGTCCGCACATGCTTGATCTTCTTACCAGTCTCCTTTTCAATCAAAGCTTTCAACTGCCTGATCCTGACAACAGCATCAAACTCGTGCCTTAGCACAAACACCCACGTCTTTCTCGAGTAGTCATCAACAACTGTTATCATAAATCTAGCACTCTTCCTCGAAGGAAATCGCGACAACCTGCGAACATCTAAGTGAATTAATTCTGTAATATCCGTGGTTTCTCTGACAATCGCACTGAACTGCACTTTCCGCTGTTGATCTAAATCACAGCACCTGCATACATTCAATTCGTCAGCAACATAACCACATAGCAAATTCCTTTCACTTAGAACCTTCAGGCTTCTATCACTAATGTGCCCCAAACGCATATGCCACAATTCAGACTCTCGAACCGATGCATCCGACGTCTCCACAGCGAATTCCACCACTGTCTCACCTTAAAGCTCATACAGGCCACTATGCTTGATTCCTTTCATTATCACCATGGCACCTCGAAAAACTTTCAGAACTCCACCTTCTGAATAATATCGACACCCAGCTGAATCTAGGGCACTCAAGGAAATTAGATTTTTCTTCAACTCTGGAACATGCCTCACTCCAGTCAATGTCTACACAATACCATCATGCATTCTGATTCTAACATCACCAATACCAATAACATTGCACTTCGCGTTGTTCCCCAACTCCACTTTACTACTATCCGTGCACTGATAAGTAGTAAACCAGTTCCTGTTTGGTGTAGCGTGAAAAGAACAACCAGAATCCATAATCCATCCGCCAAACGACGAATTATCAGTGACAGACAAGATATAATCAACATTATCTGAATTACTGTCTGCTATAGCAGCAACATCATCCGCAGACTCAACTATAATTCCCTTACCCTTGTCGTTTTTCAACTTAAGGCAATCCCTTCTAAAATGCCTCCTCTTGCCACAACTCCAACAGATAATACCACAAGTCCTAGACTGACTTCGTCTATTCGAGTTCATACTACTCCTGCTAATACGTATACCAGCTCTTCCTCTATTTTCACCTACTAAAGCAGCAGATACATGTTCGCCAGATTCTCTTTTACGGATGTCTTCACTCAGAATTAAATCTCGAACACCATCAAACGTCAAACTTGTTGACCTAGAGGAATTACTAACAGCAGTAACAACAGTATTCCAACTATCAGGCAATGAGGATAATAGAATCAAAGCACGTACCTCATCTTCAAAGTCAATATCAACTGAACTCAATTGACTAACGATCACATTGAATTCATTAATATGATCAGCAATCGACGCACCTTCGCTCATCTTCAAATTAAACAGACGTCGCATCAAGTAGACCTTGTTGATTGCAGAGGGCTTCTCGTACATGTTCGACAGGGCTTTCATCAAACCCGCAGTGGTTGTCTCTTTCACGATGTTAAACGCGACGTTACGTGCCAACGTCAGCTGAATAACACCCAAAGCTCGTCTATCCAGCAATTCCCAATCAGCTTGCTTCATCGTCTCTGGCTTCTCCCCAGACAAGGGCAAGTGCAGTTTCATCTGATATAGATGATCCTCAATCTGCATCTTCCAGAAATCAAAGTCCTTTCCATCAAATCTGTCGATTTTTACTTTTCCTTCTTCTATCGCCATCGATTCGCTTCAACTTAAGTAAGCCAGGCTCTGATACCAATTGTTGCGGAAGCCAAGCGATCGAACAATAAAATTGACAGAATAAGAAAATAAATCGGACACCAGATTTACGTGGTTCGATCGTAGTGACATACGTCCACAGGGAGAGCAGCACGGAATTCCACTATAGATCAAGCGATACAACGGAGATTACAACCACACTCAAGTCACTCAAATACTCTCGGTGTTTCCCAAGCCCCAATTACACCTAATAGCTCACACAGTGTTTAGCCCCACAATTCCTCACGAAATAATCTCTCAATCTCGCAAAAGAATTATACACAAATCTTAACACAAGATTTAATCGCTACGAACACTTAAACTCTTGGTGTAATTCCACGAATAAAATCACGAACGCACAACCAAGCACTCGCTTGCGGAGCGACGCTTCAAGAAGTCTTCACTTCACGTATTTTTCAACAATAACATGCCCAAAGTGCCCACTGAATATATTTATAGCCAAAAGAAGAACACCTTCAGAAGCCCACGTCAACATGGATTAGGAAATCATGTTATTCGGACAACTAGTCAAAGTTTGAACTTTCCTCTTTTGACTTTTCTTTGGCCGACTTCAAGTAGTGTTTCCTTCCTTTCTCTGACACAATTGGACTTTCCTTTCCTGTCCTTCTATTTCACGATTCGGACTCCAACGTGAGAATAACAAAATTGATGTGTCCGTATATTTCCTTTTACTCGATTTCGGAGGTCCGCAAAATATCCAATTCGGAATATTTAAATTTTGCTTTGGGCTCAAATTCGAGATATATTTTCAACACTCTCCCCGCTGCCTCCCTCCTCCCCCTCCTCCATCGACGGCGTGAATGACATCGCCATCAACCCCGCCGATAGCGTCTATGTCACCAACTCCGTTGCAAACCTCATCTGGAAAGTTGGCCCCGATGGAGAGGCATCGATTTCCTCTTGCTCCCCAGCGTTCGCTTCCTTCTCGCCGGTTGTCGAGCCCCTCGTACAACTACTACGGCCTCAACGGCAGCCATACGGCGGCGGTGGGAACTACCTGCTTGCTGTTTAGACTAACATGGGGAAGATGTACAGTGAAACGACCTTTGATTCATAGCACATGGGACTACCCTTTTTTTGCTCCTCTCACAACCACGAAACCCTAGCCTGAGATCCTTCAATCCTCTTTCGACGATCCATCCGTTGGTATTTTTATCGACCCATATAAGATCTTTAAATGTTCTGGAGTTCCCCTATTCAATCTTTTTCCTTCTTGTTGTTGCTACATATATTTCGTTTGTACACATCTTCTTTAGTTTTCGAGTCTATAGAGAATTGCATAAAGAATTTGAAAAGGTGAAAATCTCAAATCTTGGATGATTCCAACATACATGATGGAGTTGCAAAAACTTCTGGATAGATACCCTACATCTAAACAGATTTGACGATGACGGGGAGTGGTCGCCAGGTATAGATAGGTTAGACAAAAAGTGGCTCCTTTCAAGCTTTTAGAACGGTGAAGGAGGTAGGAATGAACCGAATTGCACACCGAACATGAGGGAGAGCATGCTTAGAATATATATATGGAACTAACTTACGGATCCGTCTTTTGATGTAATGGCAAGTTTTGGTTTGGAACTCCAAAGTTAAGCGTGCTCATGTTAGAGAACTACCGGAATGAGTGATCTCTTGAAAAAGTGCCTGTCCATATGTCAAAGGAAAAAATCGTGAGGCTTTTTATGGGACGGGTCAAAGCGGATAATACATTGAATGAGTTAATTAAAAGATGTCACAATAGAGTGTATCGGTGTGGAAACCCCTTTGGTAGTTATGTAATTCGAGGATGAACCATATAAAAGCTAGTGGACCTATAACGACCCGGTCTGATTAAGGTGGGGAGTGATTGCCGAGGCTAGAGGGCTCGAACAAAAAGCGGCTCCTAGTAAGCTTCTAGGATGCCGGAGGGATAATAATAAACCAAATTGCACATCAAACATGGGGAGAGCGTGCCTGAAGTATATATTTGAAAAATGAAATTAAAATTACCGGGGCGCCTTTTGATGTAATGCCAGGCTTTGTTTTGGAAAACACGCTCAGGTTAAAACACTATCAGGATGAGGTAGGATGGGTGACCTTTTAAGAAAGTGCTTGCCTATATGCTAAAAGATAAAACCATGAGGTTAGTTATGGAACAGACTAAAGCAAACAATTGTGAGTTAATCTACGGATGTCACATATAGAGTCGATGCAGACGGTCTAGCGAGGGCTGTCTCGTTGAGCATAGACTTGACGCTCATCAACAACGTAGCGGTCGGGATCGATGGTGTCGTGGTGACGGTGTTGATACATAAGATGTGGTTCCTAAAGAGCGAGGACGACTGGGTAGAGGCGATGGTGCATGAGGTTCCCGACGTCGGTGGCACTGGCAGCGAAGGAGAGGGCATTTGGGGGAACACGGGCGGCAAAGAGAGGGAGCGATTCGAGATCGAGGAGGTGAGGTCGAAGGAGAGAGCCGAGAGTGTGATGGGTCGGGTATGTGGTGGCGGGTTCGGGTTTGGCTTCGGGTTATTACTTGTTGAAGGGACTTGTTTGCAACTAGAGCAAAGATCACCAATTGACCCACAAACTCTTGCCCGGATCCGATTCATCATGGATTGGGCCGACCTCAGTTATAAATTTGATGGGATATGCGTATTTGTTATAAATTGGACCGACCTCAACTATAGATTTGATGGTTATACCTAAACCTCACGTGACTTCTCCTTCTTTAACGATAGTAATGTGTTACTTGTGGTTGTCCACACTAGATCCCGTGCAAGTATTTCTCCCTTTGTCTCCTTTTGATTAGTCGTTGTGTGATTGCAATCACCAAGTAGTTCAGCTAATTATCAGGAATAATGCCGGCGCCGTTGCTGACATTAACCATGTTGGTGATAGAGCTAAACTGATGGAGTCCCTTTATCTCCCGCTCTCGTAACTGTGATGCTGTCAGAAATTTCAAGTTCATAACATGATATTACAATACCCAATTCTTCATTCAATCGAATGGGTTCACACAAAGAATAACAGCGAACGTAAACAAGAAGTATTTGGGATTATGTTGAACATAAAAAAATTGTAGACAAATCATTTTGAATTTCGACAAAAAATTACAGAGATCAGACTAGATAGCATTCCTCCTAAATAGGGTAAATATCTCTCTCTCTTTGCTCTTTTCCATTTCTTTGAAGATTTTGGTGGAACATCATTGTCAATACCGTAAGTTGCAATGCCCACGTTGCATCATGAGCTACCCAAATGTAGATGTAGAAGAAGAACAAGATTACACGGTACCCATTGATTGTGTGCAGTTCGGAGATTGATCAGGACAATACTTGCAAAAAGGGAAACCAATCGATTCTGGTTTCAAGGGGAGCACATGCACGGTTTGCTCATATGTGACAATTCCTAAGCTTCGTATAACCCACCTGCCTCTGGTCCGTGTAAATGCCACGTCCGTCCATGGTCCAATACAAATACACCAGAAGGAAAAATTCCGGCCATAATTATTGTTTCGAAAGTCGAATGATCTCGACGCGAGAAGTCACGTAATTCAAGTCCGGCGAGTGCGATGAAATCCATTTATTCGATAGGGCTTATGAAACGATCGAGATCTTGTGACTTTTAGAAAAGAGATATTTCTGTCTTGTAAAAAAAATAGCAAAAAAAAAAAATGGCGATACTATGAGTTTTACTCAGCAGAACTATTTAGAAGTAGGTCCTTACCAAAAAAAAATTATTTAGAATTAGGTAAAATAATTTATTGCAAATTCGACGGTCGCAGCACAATGACTTGCCTTTTCTTTTTTTCACGGAAGATATGGACTTTGTTTAGTGTGCGTAAATTTACCTAATATATCATCTAACAGCACCAATAAAAAGTGTAATTTTGTGAAGAGAAATGCTTGGAACCGTCACTTTATGGAAAGTGACGGTACCCTCCTGACCACACACATTCAAGTGCATGTGTTCAGGCAGCTATTTTTGAATATTTCTTAAATGTATTGTCGATTTGAAAAATCCCACGTTCGGGGATGTGTGTTGAGGAAGGTACCGTCACTTTCTCTAAGCATTGCCCATTTTGCGAACTTGTATGTGAAGATGGTGACCGCAATGTATTATTCTAAATAAAGTAAATTCGAAGTTTGGAAATTAAACGAGAGTGTAGCTTTAGTGTTCTATTCTTGAGGTGTGCTTTCACGTGGCAAAATAAAAGGTTACCAATTTTTCAATTACACATAAAAAAAAAACTAATTTTAATGTGTGATGGGTTTGCTTGGCCAAAAATAGATGAGCATTAAATTACATGATGCATAATGTGATTATGAATTTTGACAATTATGATTTGAAAGTGTTAAGGCTTACATTTAAGCTCGTACCAAGTGTTAACTTTGTATTTATTTCGGAGACTAGTTAAAATTCACCTAGAAAATCAACTTCAAATAGAAATTGTAGTAGACCTATGGAAGATATTACGATCTCGATGACATCCATCGACATTAATAAGAAAAATCAGATAACCTAACATCTTGAAACTTATATAAGAAATAAACGATATTCTTTATTTTCACATCAATGTGTCACGTAGTTTTTAAGGACGGCTTGAGAGAATGTATGAACGTGATTGTTTCGATGATTAGGGGGGAGCAATCGGACAGCTTCAATTCGGGAACCGAACGAACTGGCCTTACTCGACTCGTTCCAGGAAGAACCAATCTGATTCTCGATCCCGAACTCTAGAGCCAGTTCGGTTATCAGTCGTTATGTCGGAACCACCAATTATTCAATCTGATGAGATGTAATTGGGAGAGCCAGAACTTACGACGTCGAACTTGAGATAAGCGCACAAAGCCAATCAACTGATAAGAATTCTACCGGTCAGGAGCCGGAGAAAATAACATATTAGCATCAATTACGTGAGTGCTCGGTAAAGTCGGTCGGTTCGATTCGAGATCGGTTCCAACCGGGAAGTAGTGTCAAGCTGGGGATGTTCGAAACCAAACCTATCGTGGTAAGGACAGCATGTCGATGGAAAAGGACAAAAAATGCTAATGGCCAAGCAGGTAGCTTGGTCCGCACAAGCCGGTTCAACGAACCAATGACCAACCAACCCTGTAACCATGCCTCTGCATCAACTTGACAGTCCCGTCTCTCCCTCTCTGTGTCTCTCTCTCTCTCTCGTGCTTACTGGGCGCTAACACGTTCCAAAGCATGTCTCAGTCGCGGTAAGCGCGCATATAATGCGCCAACTGCAACTGCCTAACTGCATTTCCCTGTGTCCTTACAGTTTACGTGCATCAATGAGTCACACAGAGCTTGACCGTCTGCTTGTGCTGGTAGAGATAGTGATCAAGAGAGAGAGAGAGGGAGTGAGAGCTTTATTAGGATAGGTTCTCGCATTGAATGCCCCCTCGCCAACATCCACCGGTACCCATTAATGCACAATTAATTTGAGGACGGATCGATCGTGGCCTGTCTCCGTCTCTCTCTGTTTCTCTATCCTGGTATTTGTTGTTGTCCCTCCCAGTTCCAGTGGAAATAAAACAGAGTTGATCATCGTTTGTTTGTTCGAATTATAGTGTGCAAGTAGAGAAGAGGAGAGAGGAGAGGAGTAGAGTAGATTTTGTCGCTTCTCTGACCACCACCCCACCTAAGAGCCAGAGCAGAAGGAGGTTCAAGATTCACACTTTTCCTCGCACTTTGCATGGGTCTCTAGCTCTTCGGTCACGGCACGCTGGAGCGGTCAAACTGACAACCCCTTCATGCATTAGCCATTTCGTCGACGCCCTTCACGCCATCCTCCTTGAGATCTTCCTTATAGCACGTCTGAGGAAACCCGCGGTTCCTTGAAGAGATTCTGTCGAGCAAAGCCGGATACCCATGACGAGGAGGAGCACGGCGAACGAGGTGATGAAGGAGATAGATGCGGGGAAGCCAACGGCGGGGAGCGGGCTCGCCGTTGCCGGGCTGAGCCCGCTCAGCGAGACGCTGTGGCGGGAGAGCGGCAAGTTGGCGTCGATGAACGCGGAGTTCGTCGGCGACGTCTCGGCCAGGCTGACATGGCAGGACCTCACGGTGACGGTGACACTCGGCAACGGCGGCGAGACCCAGAGGGTGCTGGAGGGCCTGACCGGCTACGCCGAGCCGGGTACGCTCACGGCCCTCATGGGCCCCTCCGGGTCGGGCAAGTCCACGCTCCTGGACGCCCTCTCGAGCCGCCTCGCCACCAATGCGTTCCTCTCTGGGACGATCTTGCTCAACGGCCGCAAGACCAAGCTCTCTTTTGGAGCTGCTGTGAGTTTCACTCACTCTAGTATGTGTTTATGTTTCTCTTTTAGTAACTTCAGTCGCTGAAAGATATGTTCGATATACATTGTTGTTGTCGTCGGAGGTTAGGCTCGAGTCTGTGAGACTTATAGCTGTGCTATGGACTCGAAAATACTCTCACTTAGTGACATGATGAATGGATCGGGGCATTCACGGTCCTAAACCGTACTTACCAGTTTACATAGAAAGGAGTCGCATTGATTGGTGTTTACTCGACATGATCCCAGGCCTATGTCACACAAGATGACGACTTGATCGGTACCCTTACCGTGCGTGAAACGATCTCATATTCGGCTCGATTGCGCCTTCCCGATCGCATGCCCTGGTCAGAGAAGCGCACGCTGGTGGAGAGCACCATTATAGAGATGGGTCTCCAAGATTGCGCCGACACAGTTATCGGAAATTGGCATCTGCGCGGGATCAGTGGAGGAGAGAGGAGGAGGGTCAGCATTGCTCTTGAGATCTTGATGAGGCCACGGTTGCTCTTTCTCGATGAGCCGACTAGCGGGCTCGATAGGTTTATCTTCTGATTCCCTTACTTTATTCGCGTCTATATTCACAGTCATGTGTGCGCCTTCATAAATTCTATCCAGTGCGTAGTGTAATAATAGTTCTCTGTCCGTTTATGACTTGCCATCGAGGATATCTCCCTTGACGGGCCACATTCAATCCGGTATAACTTGCAGTGTCATGCAATTTTCGTTTGGTAATGATTTCATGTTCGGTTAACACAGTGGTTTCCTCCGAAATCTCACTACTTCATTTTGCAGTGCTTCGGCTTTCTTCGTGACCCAGACACTTCGTGGCCTATCTAGAGACGGCAGAACTGTGATTGCCTCCATTCACCAGCCCAGTAGCGAAGTCTTTGAGCTGTTTGATAGACTGTATTTGCTTTCCGGTGGCAAGACGGTTTACTTTGGTGAGGCATCAGAAGCATACGAGGTAAGAAGTTATCTACCTTAAGTCGCTTTCACTCTAAACAAAAAGGCTGATTTACATATGTTTGGTTGATGCAGTTCTTTGCTCAAGCTGGATTTCCATGCCCTGCTCTAAGGAACCCATCTGATCATTTTCTTCGATGCGTTAACTCCGACTTTGACAAAGTTAAAGCCACGCTAAGGGGGTCCATGAAAATTCGGGTATGGAAATTTCTTTTTGGCCTTCCCCATAAGCGAGCTCCACTGAACAGTGGACATAAAAATTTCTGGCACTTCATCAATCATTTATCTGAGTCGGACTTGATCCGAAAAGAATGATATCTTTGGGTTTCTCGGCTTTAAGAGTGCTAATTAAGTTGGTTTTCCCTCAGTTCGAAGCAACTGATGGTCCCTTGGAGAAGTTAACAACAGCTGAAGCTATCCGAGTTCTCATTGACTTCTATCGCACTTCTCAGTACTCCTACGCTGCTAAACAAAAAGTCGACGAGATGTCAAAAGTTGTAAGTTCTCCCTTCGGTACAGATTAACCTTGATAATCCTTTTAGCCAACTTCTGTTATTGTCATTATGTTGCCGTGAATAGAAAGCTTATGAATGGTTCATCATTTTGCAGAAAGGGACTGTGCTAGATTCAGGAGGCAGCCAAGCTAGTTTTCTTATGCAAGCCTTTACCTTAACCAAGCGTTCGTTCATAAACATGTCCAGGGACTTTGGGTATTACTGGCTAAGGCTTGCGATTTACATTTTCGTTACCGTCTGCATAGGCACGATCTATTTGAACATCGGGACAGGATACAATTCGATTCTGGTATTGATTCTCCATTTAATTTATCATCTCAGACAATTGATTACCGCCACACAATGACAGCAAATCAAATCAAAGTACACAAAACTTGTACCATAAACAGACAAAACAAACTCCAATTGAAGTAAACAAATTTTCTTAAAAGCTCTTTTTCTCTGTGACAGGCCAGGGGCTCATGTGCATCTTTTGTCTTTGGATTTGTAACGTTTATGTCGATTGGTGGGTTTCCTTCGTTTGTTGAAGATATGAAGGTGAGGTGTTAAAAAACCTGTTCAGCAATCCACAATGGGACATCCTTCGATGGTGATTACCAATTTTTTCCCTCCTTAAGTCACGTCTTAAATCTGGCAGGTCTTCCAAAGGGAGAGGTTAAATGGTCATTATGGTGTCACTGCATTTGTCATCAGCAACACGCTCTCTGCAACGCCTTTCCTAATACTGATCACTTTCCTTTCGGGAACTATTTGTTATTTTATGGTGCGCCTTCACCCGGGCTTCGAACACTATCTCTTCTTTGTTTTGTGCCTCTACGGTAGTGTAACAGTCGTCGAGAGCTTGATGATGGCAATCGCTAGTGTCGTACCCAACTTCCTGATGGGGATCATCACAGGGGCTGGAATTCAGGTTAGTATTTTTTTCACCATGTAGTTGAAGTTTACACTTATAACGGACCAAGTTTTATACTAAAAATGGACCGCAAAATCATGGAAATAAAATCCTTTATCTAACCAATGAGAGAATTTATATATTGAATCATCGCTCCATTTATTATGGTGGGCCTTTGTGGTCTATAAATGGTCCAATTCCATTCAATATGGTACCGGGTGAGACACCTGACTCTTTGGAAGCCCTTGTTTGCATCTCCTTAAACCCAATATCTTTACTTTCCGCTTAAGCAAGTATGCTAGTGCACAAGTGAGAGGAGTGTTACGATATTATGTTTGAAGAAATGCTTCTTTTTATGTTCATAAAACTGTAGATTGATCAGGTGCAGTTTTAAGTAATTTAGTAAGCTGAGCATTCGTCACGAGTTATGTCTTTTATGGTTGCAAGAACTTAGGGCAGGGCTATGCTTCTGATTGCTATTTGAGGACTGTTTTTTCTACAGTTGAGTTTTCGAATGCTTTTCTACGACTTACAGCAGAGGCTTTGGTTTAATACTTCTGCTCACAGCATTAACAAATTCTATCAGCCGTCTCAATTTTTGCATCTCAGTCATCTTCTTGTTTGCTTTTATGCTTCAGGGCATTTTCATGCTGGTCTCTGGATACTTCAGGCTTCCTAAGGATATTCCTAAGCCCGTATGGCGCTACCCAATGTCGTATATCAGCTTCCACTTCTGGGCACTTCAGGTAAAGCTGCACGCAGTGTTTCATTTTCGATATCAAGAGATTTCTCTGTCGAAAACTTTATATAACCGCCAGGAAAATAATTGTAGGGTCAATACCAGAATGATCTCAGCGGTATGCTGTTTGACAACCAATCGCCAGATCTACCCAAAATTCCAGGAGAGTATATTCTTGAAAACGTCTTCCAGATTGACGTGAACCGATCAAAATGGGTGGACCTGAGTGTGTTATTAAGCATGATAGTCATTTACCGCATCCTCTTCCTTATAATGATCAAGGTCAATGAAGATGTGACTCCTTGGATCAGAGGTTATCTAGCAAGGAGGAGGATGCAGCGGCAGACCGGAAACAACAACTCGTTAATTGCCCCGAATGGCCTCACCCAATCTCCTTCTTTGAGGAATTACTAGGCCAATCGAGCGGCTGCGACTGGGAGAATGTAAAAACAAGAAGGAGCGAGAAGGTTTTGACAGTCAACAGACAATTATATATTCAGATCACAGTATCACAGAAACAATCTCGTTGGGGATGTTGAACAGACAAGTTTGAAACCGTTGCTGCTTAGAATATCTTTCTCAGAATGATGATTTACTTAACTTGTTATCATATTGGTATCTGTAATTTTTAATATCATTATGGGAATCGATTATGTGGCCAGGGAGAAATCAATTATCTATAGATTTGCAAATCTCTCTCTCTCTCTCTCTCTCTCTCTCTCTCTCTAGTCCGCATGTTGTTGTTGTTGTTTTTTTTTTTTCCTGTTTTTAGGGGGGGTCGAATCTCATTGCCAAGTGGGAATGTCAAAACAGGAATAGCTGTGGACCTCTTCGTTTATGTTTATGTCTTCTGAGAAAATGCATCACTTTGTGGCCGAGTCTCAGGATAAAACTGAACTCCTTACTTACAGAACAGGAAGACTCTGTCACAGATGTCTTACTGAACAAACAAAAAGAAAGAAAAGGGCGATCCAATTTGTAAATGATATTACATAATCTGGAATGATGAGAAGAACTTGCAAATCGGTCATTCCTTCCACACGGGGATGATGCCTTGTGCCGCCAGACGCTTTTCGACCCAGAAGACAACGAGCTTCCCCGTGACTCTTTTCTCATCCACAAGAAATGGCTCAACGGTACTTGCTTCCGAGCCATAGGACGACAACGCGAACCCTTTTGGGCCTTACAAAAGCAAAAAATAATAATGAATCGAGCGTCGATGCATGGAATTAGAATATGAAGAATCAGAGAGAGAGAGAGAGAGAGAGAGAGAGAGAGAGAATGAGCAATACCGGTGAGGTCACCCGTAGGAAAGAAGGCCCAGAATGAGTAACGATTCCCCTCTTTTAGGAAGGAGCCGTCCAACTGCATATTCATGAAGAGCAATCAAATGGAACAGTGTGAGGTTGTGACGTGAGCTAAAACCATTCGAAAATTGTTCTGTGAGCTACGGAAGAAGCACACAAGTAAAGAAATGTTCTGAAACCGACCCTGTTATCCTGGAAAGAGAGTTCAATTTCGGAGAGGTCATCTTGGGATTGGAGGATTTCTAGTAGGGGAGGGATCACTTCCTCCTCCATGAGCTGAGGAAGTGGCTTCGTCGGCGCTTTCGCTGGAGCTTTAGGCTTTGCCGCCGCCGCCGCTGCTTTTGGAGCTGCTTTTGCTTCCTCTGTCTCTGTGGTGGCTGGTATAGAGGAGGAAAAACCAAAAGCATTTCATTTTCTATTTTAAAGAATACGGTTAGAGGGTTAAAAACTCAAAACAAACTCAATCAAGGCTTGAAGGTGAGAATGCAGAGGATATACCGGTGGAAGTCGATTCTTGGACGGCAGAGCAGGCAACAATTCTTGGAGAAGCCACTGCTAATCTGCACACCATCTGTTAGACCATGAAGATCATTGTCAGTTGCAAGTCTACACAAGCAGTCACTTTGCCCAAAACTTTCATCAAAACAACAGCTTTCATTTTCTATCTTCTTTCCTTGCCCAAAGCGCAAAAATAGTTGAATTGAGATTGTCTGATTGTTTGTCAAGGGAGTTTGAACTCCATTTCTATTTCAAAGAGAATCAAGAAGAGGGAAGGAAAACTGTGACTATTGTCATCTCCTTAAAGTCAATTGAAACTTGTTCTAAAGCTCTCCTTTTTACAGGGAGCTCACGCTTTGCTATCATTTGCACAGCAGACACAGATATCTCGCTGCGACTTCACATCAACATAGAACTAAGCCACAGCATCAAATTCAAACGTTGCTAGCTTCTGCAGTTGCATATAGCTAACCATCCTCGTCGCATCACAAAGAATTAGCAGGATTCACCAAACTCTTTTCGGCAAAGAGCATTCTTTTTGTGTTCTGATGAAATCGCAATCCGAACTTGAGCAAGCAAGCACACGCGAACAAAGCACTCAAACGGCGAGTTTTTCACGTACCGTGGAGGGATTTCGAGATTTTGCATTGTGGGAGAAATACGAAGAAGACGATGAAGAAACGAAGCTGGAGACTCCGACTGCTTGTCCACCAAGTGTTGCGGCCATTTGCATTTCAAGAACAGAGCATCCACCGAACAGAACAGAACTTTCAAGAACTGTACAAATCCGCTACCATGGAAGAACCGGCAGCCCCATCAGAATCTTGAAGATTAAAGTTTCGTTCTTTGGATCTGATAGAAAAATGGGACTCGTTTTTTTTTTTTTTTTTTTTCTTTTTACAATTATTTATCTTTTGGCGCTAATGTGAAGATGGTGGAGAAATTAGCTGACAGCAAGTCCAGAGGAAGGAGCGAAGATACAAGGCAAGAGGAGGGGGTTCTCTCTCATCCACACGGGGTCTCGTGAAATATATGCCACTGAATTCCCATACGTTTTAAGCCCATGTACACATTTGCAAACTAAAGAAAGTGATATGTTCGTTAGAAGTCCTAAAACTTATCACGAAAGTGCAATTGAGTCCTAAAACTTGTAAAAAGTGCGATCCAATCCTAAAACTTATCAAATTGATTCAATTGAGTCCTAAAGTTACCACCCATAAGGAGAGAGAGAGAGAGATATTTGTTTGGTCTCTGGGAAAAAAGAGAAATTAGCATTGGCCCAAAATTGCAGAAATTACATGGATTACATGATATTGTTTGAGAATTAGGCTCCAATTTCCTGATTAGTAAACTTTAATTAAACTAATCTGAGACTACCATTTCAGTTGATCAAGCAGATTTTACCCATACTCCACGAGTCCTCCTCATTGACCGACAAAAAAAGAAAAAAGACCCATCTTTTCTATGTCCAATATTTGTGGTCTTGTCCCCCTTCATCATTGATTTCGATTTGGCTAGGATTTCTTATTGTTGTTTACGAGTTCACACATTACCAGTGGAGGAAAATTGTTCAAAAAGTCCTAAACCTATTGCAATTTTGCCAATTCAATCATAAACTTTTCAAGTGTACCAATTGAGTTATAAACCTTTTTACTTCTTGTTAATTGAGTCCATCCGGCCAATTTTGGCTGCCCGGAGCTAACGTAGATGCTGGCCAACGCTGACGTGGTAATTTTTAAATATTTTTTTTGAATTTTTTTATATTTTTTTCCTTTTATTTTTTTTTGGCCTTCTTCCCTCTATTCGGTCCGGCAAGGTCGACCTCGCCGACTTCTGGCGAAGCTCACCCCCGCCGACCCTTGGCTGGGAGAGGTCGAACCTCGTTCGACCTCGCCGTCCCAACCCAGGCGATGGCGGCCTCGCTAGATCTGGGCGAGGCTGACCTCACCATCGCCTAGGTCGTGACGGTGAGGTCGGCCTCGCCTTTGTTGGGTGAGGTTGAGCTTCACCAAAGGCTGGCGAGGGCGAGCTTCGCCAGAGGCAAGCAAGGTCGACCTCGTTGGCCCTCGCCTCTGACCGGTCCGACCTGCCAGAGGGAAGAAAAAAATAAAAAAATAAAAAATTGTCACATTAGCGGTGGCCGGACGACCGGCACTGGCCGTCGTCCACGTCAGCTCCGAGCAGTCAAAATTGGCTAGATGGACTCAATTGACAAGAAGTGAAAAGGTTTAAAACTCAATTGACAAACTTGAAAGATTTATGACTGAATTGGCAAAAATGCAATAGGTTTAGGACTTTTTGAATAATTTTCCCTTACCAGTGACATGGAAAGAAATTCTAAAACTCCAATGAGAGGACTAGTAATCAAATAGTATGTCTATTTGGCTGACGTTGATGTCAAATTACTGCCAAGCATTCATGAATATGTCAGCATTAATCTCATACTTCTATAGTAAAGTAAGAATTTCAACTCTGTTCTTGAAATGCAAATAAGATATCTACAGACGCTAAAGGTCAGCCATATGATTCGATTGATTGTGAATTTGTGATCAGAGTCTCATTTTGTTCTAAAAAAAAGAATGGCAGAGGTTTCAGAGATGTGCCAAAACACGATGCAAACGACTTCATAAAATAGAACCAAGAGATTGATCTTGGGGAGGATCATAAACCATTCGTTCGCAGTTGGAATAGATGAATTCCACAACGAATTGCCCAGATGAATTCCACAATGAATCGCGCAGATAATCCCCCGTTTATATGATCAAGATCTGGGCCTAACAGGGAAAGTTGCATCTAGAGAGGTGGTCCCTTCAGCCTCCAATAAATTGAAACGCCCCGTTTAAACTCAGACCGAGCAAAGACCTCAATGAATTTCATAGCGAGAGTCTTGATTGAGGTAATCTTATTGCTTTAATCTGCTTCTCCTCCTTGGTTGGGAACATTTGGGCAAACTGTTTTTCTTGAACTTCTGAACCATAGCATACACCTATAACGAGCAGATGAAATCAGGTTAAGGGACCATAAGATCGCCTGTGAAACAGGAAATAGTGCTTCGATGCCAGTTTCAATGAAAAGACTAAAGCCATGGCAACACATCAATGAATTAGCAGTTAACTTGCATGTTGAAGCTGAATACTGTCTCAGGCATTGACTTTGTACTAAGATCTGGTGATCCACATTTCTGTCCAGCTTCGCTGACTGCATGTTCATTTATTATCTGATTGCTTGCACAGTGTGTGATAAATCAAAAAACCGTTTTTCCAATTCTTTTACAGCGTGAAATAGAAAACAGAAAATGAATGAGCATAGAACCAAGAAACAGCAAACGATATGCATTTACTTCTTTAAAACGTTCTTCAGTTCAGTTTTGTACAGAAAGTTCTAGAGATTCTTAAGTTCTGGTGTTCAAACTGATTTGTCAGCTATATGGAAATGAATCAAACACTCTGGCAATACTGTCTTATTACCAATTGTTCAGGTACCTAGAAGGAAATCAAGGAAATATCGAATTATCTCAAAATCATCATATCCATGTGTGTGAATTTAATCACTTGCCTTCCTGACTCCAGACGTCAATCCCAAGCTAGAAAGAGCCTCGCTGTCCACATATTTCCATGTCAATGTTTTCTTGCTGTGCTTCCTAAAGAAACTCGTCTCATCTTCAAACCGACAAAAAGCAGAGTCAGTAGCCACATAGTTTACAAAGACATTCATATAATGATGTACTTATATGACAGAAAAATCAGACAAGTAGACATATCAAATTGCTTGTAATTGATAAAACACGGTACCCTATCTTTCCTTCAAGAACTGAGGCTTACTAGCTAACGTCTCAGAATCAAGTTATCTACAGTTTACAACAAATGCAGACTACTACAAACAAGACCATTTATATTTGAGGATGTAGAATTGATGGAGCTTCTCTTTTACACTTCAATTGTAGAGAGGAAGTGATCTACTTCGATTTTACTTAGTATGGAATGTGTGGTAGAGACGCCTTACCTTTGAGACGTAACACCAACAGCTCCACGAATATCCTGAGACGAATATGTGAAAAAATATGGACAAAATCTCCAACATCTTCCCTTGTGATCGGGATGCAGATTGTTAAGTCAAGTCCAAAAGATTGTTCCAGAAAATTATCAATTGCTTTCCTTCTTGTATCTGAGTCAGCTTCATCCTTCAGCATTACTGATGGGAACTCCCAGAGACCAGCAAGCAAACCCTCATCTGGCCTTTTCACGAGAAGGTAACCACTTTCAGTACTGTTACTGGCAAATGCATCTTCACCTCTTAATATCTCCACAACGCAAACTGCAGAAAATTCCTCTCTTTGTTTTGTCTTGACTCCTTTAGAAGGATAATCTGTGACCGTTACAGATTCATCCTTTCTGGAAATTGAAAGTGCCTGACATTGGATGGAGATAGGGCATGAAGAACAGCTTGGATTCAATGGAGTGCAAACAGTTGCACCAAGTTCCATGAGAGACTGGTTAAAATCCCCAGGTCGATCTGGATCAACTAGTTGAGCTGCTAATTTCCTGATCCAGAGGAAATTTGAATGAGCAACTATATAAAGAATGAGAAAAAATAACTTTACCAAAAAAAAAAAAAGAATGAGAAAAATAGTTACAAGCTACAGCAATTGTCCCCTGCATTGTCAGGACATACTAGGAAAAATATAGCGAGGTAACCATTAAAGACACAATAGCACTTTTTGTAGCCATTGATCTCATGATGAATAGAACGCTGTTTGACTGAGGAACTTAAAATTTCAAATTTCAGCAGGATGAGTCCACATCTCAGAAAGGAACATGTTTGAAGTTAGAGAGGCACAGGTGCAGGGTCAATGGTTCGGACAATGCACCGACTCCACTAGCCTAGATTTTCGTAGTGAACTAACAATTATTATGCATTGAGGGACGGACTACCAGATGATAGAAATTTTAATGAACAGAAGAATCAGGTACTGCAGATTAAGTTAAAAAAATGCAAAAGGGTCAATATTGGCAAGAGCATTTGGAAGTAAAGTAAATTGTGTTATGAGATATAAAATCCAACCAACAGCTCACCAAAAGTTTTTGACAGTAGCTGAGTCTTTTGGATTTGCAGAGATAGCCTTCAACCTAGCAAGCACTCTAACTACATTCCCATCAACTACCGGCACCACCTGATGGATCAAAGTTTAAAATTGTTCCTCACATGGTAAAAATGAATAACTGGAAAAGTTGCACACCTCATTGAACGCTATCGAGGCAATTGCACCTGCTGTATAATCACCGATTCCAGGAATCTTTCGGAGTGCACCAACTGTCCTGGGAAATCCTTCTCCACCAGCAACAATCATTTTTGCCCCCTAACAACGTAAATGAAGAGTAAGCCTCAAGCACATGCCTGGCATGGAGGTAAAGTAATTTTATGTGTGCAATACATGTGATTTATCTTTTTTTAGCTCCGTCGTTTTCCAGTTTCAGAGATGCATATCTGGTCATCATCACAAATTGAAACAAACCAAGCACAATTAAGAAACTAAAAGCAGAAAGGACCAATGACAAATAAATGGGACTCAAGGAAAGGATCAACTAACATACTGAATCAATATATCTTAATATCATTCCCCATCCAAAAATCAAGCAAGCATGAAAATTTAAAAATGTGCATCTTATACTATGTTCTAAGAGTGAACAAAGATGTGCAACAAAAAACACGAGACCAGAGCTGTGCTTACCTCTAAGAGGAAACGTGCCCGCCTATAATAGCCCAGACCAGCCCACATCTCATTCACCTCCTGCATAAGAATGATAACATTCATCTAAAACTCAACAAAAAATGTACTTTCAACAAATTAAGTTTGAATAACTTAGTAAGGGAAGCACATTTGGTTACACGAACATTCGAGGACATCAACATTTCAAAGTAGATGACTTCAGAACCTATGATTTATTCAAAAACTTAACTATATGGTCATCAAGATGGCTAAGAGGATTTCAGGCTGCAGTTCTCGATATAATCCTTCTGGGATTGGAAGGCAGAGAATGGCACTAAAAGCCCCTTCCAATGGCGTAATCAATAACAAAGAAACTAGAGAGGCCTAATTTAGGACTTAGCTCAAGCATATCTCAAGAGACACAAAATCTCAAATGAGCTATAACAGAAGGAGAAAAAAAGGAATATTTACAGAAGGTATCCATTGCTCTTCGGGCATAACACCAGGTGCCCCTGAACTAGCTAAAGAAATATGTATTAGATGGCTCTAATCAGGTGGTCCAAGAGCTCCTCAAGCACTCGCTTTATTGTTTAATGGGAAAAGAAGTATCAAGAGACAAGAATTAGATAGCTAAACTGAAAACCAGCTAACTTATAGTAAATATATGACTGCTTGAAAGTTTTATACTTTCCCTAGAGGATCCTTCTCCAGCTTTTCCACCAATGATTACAGAACTACGCAGTCCGAGCTTATGTAGACGAAGAACCAAAGTTCACATTTTGCTTCTTATCAAGTAGTCGCAACACTCCAGCCCGCGTTTTAGGAGAACAAGCTAATCTTTGGTTACTTTTGGAGGATACATAGTCGTCGAATGTTTATAAGCAAAAGAGTTACGCACCCACTACCATATCCATCCTGAAGGATGTGTACTACCTCGATCACAGACCAGGCAAACAAAAAAGATTACATACAAAAGAACCTAAGAATAAATGAACCACCTCTAGAGAAGCAGAGGCGAGATGGTGAAGAGAAGGCCACTTGAGCATCCACCGGTTGTAGTAGTCGATCACGGTCTGAACCCTCGTCTGTTGCAGCATCACCTCAGACACCCACACCCCATAAGCCCTCCTATCTTCTTCTTCTTCATCTTCCGGTGCATTCCCAGTATTGCCCTCGCTGCCGCTCATCCTCCACGGAAGCTCCCTCCGGTTGAGGTCGTACCACTCCAAGAGCGAAGCTCTGGCACCGCTCACCTCTTCTCTGTCGAACGAGAAGTCTTCGATGTCCGGCGCTTCCGGTTCTTGCCGAAGCGCCAATGCCTTCGGTGGGTTTATCTCCCTTCGCGGTCTCTTCTTCCCGGGACTGTCGTGGTCGTTCGCGTTCGCCTTCATGCGGGCACACTTGTCCTTCTTGGGCTGCGACGGTTTGTTCTTCTTCATGGGGGTGCGATGGTTGAACTGGGGTTGGAACACGATTCTTGGAGCAGAAAGGAAGTGAGTTTTCATTCACCGGAGCTTCTTCGAATCGGAAACATGCGTCCCAGCTGATCGAGCCCCTCCAGTAAAGATCGAATTTTTTTCGTGGAGAGAGAGGGAGAGAGAAATGGGTGTTCTGTTTTGGCGTCTAGGAGTTCAATTTGAAACATCCACTGTTCCTCGTATGGTCGTTGTCCGTACACATTCGGGTCGAGTTTAAGGTATGCAATGAGAAAAGAAATGATCGTTTAGGCTCAATTAAAAATGCTGTACTCCCATTCCATTCTTGAACTAGTCTCGTAGTCTACAGAGAACGTAGGATTGGCTCATTGTCATTTCTTAAAGGTATTTGTCACGGGTCAATAGTTTGAGATTAAACCCGTACGGCGATTTAGATTTTCTTAGATCATTGAAGCGCCTAATCTCACGTTGGTAGAGACAGAAAGTTGTAGAGAAAAGCTATAGAAGAAAATGAATTTCTATTGCTTTCAATTATTGAATGTTTCAAATGAGGGAAAAGACATCCCTACTTATACAAAGACTCGACTGATTACTCATCCACCGACTACCGTCATTTATGCTGAGAATTCTCTGGAACACGGCACAATTACTGTATCGTCTATCCCTGAGAACGTTCCTAAAGCTCTCGTATATTTGGCCCGTTCTTTTCAAATTATCATCTGAGTCCTCATTGATTAATTTCAAATAGTTTGCCATTTTTCGGTTTTCTTTAGCTCTTTGCCGGAGGGTGAATATATAACAGCACAGTCCTCTTCTACAGAAAGCATGCTAAACCATTGCCATCGTGTTTCTTGACTAGGGAAAGGTAATGAAGATTGAAGACACAACAGAAGGCCATATAGAATACCAAGCAAGAGAGAGAGAGAGAGAGAGAGAGAGAGAGTCTCCAAGCTCAGTAAAAACACCATATAAGGGGAAAACAAAAAGCTCAGTAAACACCAGACAAAGCAAGCCATAGAAATGAGCAACCTCCTATACACTCTCTCAGGATGAACTCCCTCGGAACAATCTGCAAATATTAAAGTGACTCAATGTACAACATTTGGTACAAGGTGACTTACTTTCCCCATCTCGATAGGATGAGCAAGCCTGCTATAGTCAAACACGTCGAAGCCACTATCGACACAACCAGTGCAAAGGCATACACGGGGTCAGGGAAATTGAAATACTTCTGGATTTTTTTCAGTCCTTTGTCAATTACAGGTGCCAGTGCAGCCGCCCCAGCTACTCGAAATGGCCTCGTCACGTTGTTACCGGTCCACATCAGTATGACAATCTGGACAGCAGTCGACAGTCAATTCAAGTGAGACATCCAAAAAGAACTCCCTCCAATTCAACGTAAACGTGTCAATAACAACTAGGCCAGAAAAGGAAATTAGCAAACCTTCTAGGCAAAGGCAAAAGAAAATGACAAAACCAGAAAAAACAAGCGCAATGTCATGAGGAATGTCTTTCCTTTGCATTTGAGATAAAAACAGTAAAACATCAATCTAAAGCCAGTAGCCAGCTTATCGAAATCAGAAAGACAGAAATTTAGCATAATAATTCTCCTATCCAATGAATGAATACCATAGATACAAATTAAACATCATTCTTACTTCTATCAATCTTCTATTGGGGCAATCAGGATTCCACACTGTTTTTTCAACGTTTTATAAATACACCACCAAGCAAGAACTTGATGACTTAACCAAGCTGCTTAAGCCTGTTATTAATTGGCACTAACCGGTTTGCTGGTCAACTCATTTTGGGTTCATGAGCTTTCGATGAATATCATTAATCAATCTAGCTTTAAGCCATCTTTTGTTTTTGTCACCTGTATCTCGACTCAACATAGCCATCTTCAATAGGTGTATATAAAGAGATAATCGCATGAACTTTACCCAAAAGCATAGTCCAGTTCCATATCCAATCTAAAGAACTTGAATAAATGTCAGTAATTGTATAAAACTACAGGCATGCACTAATTGCATGAGAAAAGCATAGTCTACCTCTACATCCAATCTGAAGAACTGGATCAACATTGTCAAGAAAATGGGCAAGCTCAAGGCTAGGACACCTTAAGTTGACAAAGAACAAAATCAGCTTCTTCCACATTGCCATATATGTTCAGGGATCTTGATTCCAAGTCCTATAACTTCAGGCTCAGAACTGAATAATCAACAGCATTACACAGATGTCTGTCAAGACACAACCTTCATATAGACGTTTTGCTTTGAAGTTGTTCAATCTGTCCCCTAACCGAATCAATACATAGAACTAAGGAACCCAATGGGTAGATTACATGGACACTAAAACCTGATAAAGCCCTTGTTAAGCCAATGGATCTTAGGTAATACCCGATACAAGAAATTCATTTGTAGCATTAGACTTTGCTTACCCCTAATAGCGCCTGAAGATTAGCTGCAGGATTCTTCCCCGTGCTCTTCTCATAGCCAAGGAATGCAAGGATGAAGAAAGTGGTGTATGTAACACCATCGAACAATCCATACGCAAGTACTGCTGCAAGCCCGAGCTTTGCTAATTTGGAAATCATTTCAGCTGAGTTGGCCTGATGCAAGGTCAAGTAAGAACGATAACAACAAACCGGGAAAATATCTTGGTAGCAATCAAATCCGAAAATAGCACAAAGGCCATCAAGAATTAACATTTCTAAAGATTCTATCAAGTCTTCTGACTCCCCTTTTTCCGAAGAACTTCTTCAAAACTGAATTCTACAACAATGCATGTTCAAAGTGCCCACTCAACTCGACATTGAAAACAGACACAATGAATGAACAGAGTACTTAGAGAAAGAGACGCTTACCTTCCATTTGCTCCAAAACCCTGTCCTCTGCTGGCTCTGCAATTTTCCCCAATGGAAATTGTCAATGATTCAGGTTCACTATACAGAAACAAAACAGAAAACAGCAAAAGGGTCTACAAAACCGTCAGTATTGTACTACAGAGAGACATAACTACCGGCAATTGCTGATCTCCATCCGAGAGACTTTCGCCTGCAGCTCCCTCATTGACAGAGCACTTGACGCAAAGGTTCGAACTTGAGGGCAAAGAAACACAGTACCTGCCTCGCTGCTTCGGAATCTGAGGATGAAGGGCATTCGCCCCACGAATCAAAAAAGAAGGGATGGTCTTGAACTTGATTTTACTAACTGGGGAGGCAGCTTTTTGGCTGTGGGGGATGGATTTCGATTCTATCAGAGACCGAGGATGATGGGGTTGCAAAGCAGCGGACAACATGTTCGTGTGTTCACTGTTCAGTCGCTCACTCTCCCCAGTCTCCCTCGGCTACCCGCTTGAACAGAGACAGACGACAGGAGCAACCGTCGACCCGCCCAGAGTCGAGGAGGTTCGGTTCAATCTGATCTTCTCTTTTGCAATTATGGTTCCCTTCTCGTATCTTTGGTTAAGGGGTTGAAGTTTTTTAACCATCTACACGAAGTTTTGTCCTCTAAGAAACGGTAGAGACCGATCTCTTAACCGGACTATGATTCTGTAAAAGCCTAGGATGACTCTGAAAATGTACGAGTGCTTAGACCTGCCTACGCAAAAATTGGGATTCTTGAATTTTGACAAGATTAAAGAGAAAACCCGGATTTTCTCTCTTTTCTTACCAAAAAAAAAAAGAGAAAACCCGGATCATGACAAGTCACAATTTTTTCAAGAAATCAAGCTGAATTTCACTTAAAATAATATTGATTAATCGAGAAACCAAAGGAACAAATTATGCTGAACCATGACAAAACACGGCCTCTACTCGCCAAAAAAGTTCCTGCAAGATTTTGAGCTGGTTTTTACTAGGGTGAGCATAGTCCGGGCGGGCGATTCCCACCCCGGAACCGTAGACCGCCCGCTAAGGACCGGTTCCAAAAAATTGGAGCCGAGAACCGCCCGTCGGTTCCATGGACCCACTCGAGAACCGGATCGCCGGTTCGGTCCGGTTCCCGGGTGGGTCCATGGAACCAGTCCCACTAAGTTTTCCTGGACAAATAAAAAAATGGACCGGTCTAATTCTTGCCCGTTGGTGGGTTATGTTCACCACATGCTACTTTGCTTCACATCAAATACATCCGTAGCCTATATTATATATCACACATGGGAGTTTGCCACAAGTTCACAATAGTCAGCAAGCAACCAAAACAACAACTTTCTTATTTTCTTTTTCTTTTTTTATTTTTTTGGTCAGATTTTTTAAATTAAAAATTAAATAAATATATATTATTATTATATTACCGGTTCGGTCCGGGTGGGCGGGTGAGCGGTTCCACACTGGGAACCGGGAACCGGACCGGTACCCACCGGTTCCGAAAAATTGGAACCGGGAACCACCGGTTCCGGTCCGGTTCTGGGCGGTCCAGGCGGGTCCCGGTTCTTTTGCACACCCCTAGTTTTTAGGTTCTCTTGCGCATTCGACTTCCATGCTGTGAACCTATGGTGGTTCCAGTTCCATATCGCTCTGTCTCGTTGCATTCGAATTTTAAGGGTCGGCTTGAAGTGAACAATCTGTCATCATCGTTATTCATAGAAAGAGATGCATCATGCCTTTTGGGAGCGGGCCAGTCCGCCGTCTCTTATAAAAAAAGATTTTAAACGCAGGATCATACAGTAAGTTTTGATATGTTTACAGACTTTTTAAAAGTAAGCACAGCCATTGTTTCCTCCCATCCGTGTATAGAACACAAGTCCCTCCCTCTCATGCTTTGTGAATGAGCTAGACAGTAAAGGCATGTTCAGTTGCTATACACAGGGCATAGCAAAAAGATGTCTGTCAAGTTTGCTCTCAGCTACACCATTCAAGAGAGACACAAAAGGTCAATAAAACTGTACTAGACGATATCAACCACGAGACATGAGCGAAAGGAGACATCCTTCTTTTACTTAATTGATGTGCTTAAGAGGCGGTCATCAGTAGGATTACAATACTCTGGGTGCTAAAAAAAGAATGAAATCAGACTCGAAAGCAAAATAGTCATTAAGCCATCCGGTAGCTGCAGTGCGAAAAATTCAGCCTTCGACCTGCAATTGGGAAGATAGTTTGCCATGAGAAAGTCATCCAAAACAGCGCACTGCATTGTTTTGACGGTTTCCATTTAAGTATTTCCCAAAAACTCCCTTATGGATCTTGTCGTGCCTTAATCAGAATCTGATACATGTAAGAAAGAGTTGAAACCCAGTCACAGATGTAATTACTGGAAATCTAAAATCCTAAAGTTTTAGGCTTGTGACCACCGAACTGACTACTAGCTTAAAGTTCCAATGACAACAACTGCATACAAATCCAACCAACAGCAAGCCCATCTTCTCCATGCTTATGCAGTTCAGTCCAATACAGAAACGCGACCGTCCTGCAAAGGATACCAAAAACATACTTGGAAAATCTCTAATTGCTACACAAATCATAAATCGCCGGGCATCAAATGAAGCAGCAACCACCAAATGTTATCAATTCCACAAGCCAAAATAGAAGTACCCATCATTTCCAATGCCCAGGTCAAGTTGTGACATTCCAGGGACTCATCCCTCAGTTCAGATTCACAGGTAAATTACAGGGCAACCGGAGGTCTACAATGTCACACTAAAAGCCAGAACCGAAGAAAGAAATCCAGCAACTGCAAATTTGGGCAACTAGTAGATCATGATCAACCCAGAATAACATGTTTCAACTCCTAACGAACAGGAGAGGCTACACATCACAGACAAAAGCCAACTGAATGATGACCACCCCCAATGCATTGCAGTCTTACATCCAAGAATGTCACATCCAAACGAATTTGTAAAGTTGTACCTGAGCGGGTTTGGACTCGGAGGAAGGGACCGGCTCGAGACTCGCAATCCTCGCTCCCAATGCATCGAACTTCTCCTGCATCTGCATCGACCCAAACAAGCCAAAAAAACACACGCACCCAAATTCACTGATTAAGAAGGCGAAGCAAAAACAAACTTCGGTTAAAGTCATCGAAATCGCACACGTACCTCAGCAGAAAGGGCGTAGCGATCGACCCAGAGGTCCCTCCACACCAATTGGGAAACCGCAGCACCGGTCACCGCGAACCCTAATCCGAACCACAGCAACCTCGTCCTCAACATCGCCTTCGACCCAATTCGATACGCTGCAGGGAGACGCCGGAATCAGCAGAAAGGCAACTTTTTTCGCTGCACGGAGAGAGAGAGAGAGAGAGAGAGAGAGAGAGCTGTGCGTTGTCGAAGACGAGAGCGATGGAGCGGGCAAGGAGAAGCGGGCCGGGTCGGAGCCCGCAAATTTCGGGCCTAGAACGGGCCGGGTCGGAGCCCCGGGCCCATTTCAAATGACCCGAATTGGCCCCATTTTTTTCTTTATTTTTTAAATATTTTTTTTCCTCCGTGAATTTTTGTCGGGCCTAAAACGGGCTCATCGGTACACGCGATCCCCCATCCCGCACGGTACTTTTACTTTTACGGGAAAATCTTTTGCTTTGATTCGGAGCATGTGAGCCCACTTCATCTCCGTCATTAAATGTTGTATGGGCTCCATGTGGGATCAACACGATCTAACGACGGAGATAGAGATGACTCGCTCACACGATCACGTCCAAACAAGGTCTTGCTCGCTGTCTCGACATATTTCAATCATGGATACACAACTTGCATCTAAAACGGTATAGAATTGTTCTCCCGAGCCTCTGTAAATCCATGAGAATTGACTAAAAACATCCCTCATTCTTAAAGGAGTCCTCCATCATAAACCTTGTGAAAAATTCTCAATCGGCCGCCGTGAAATCGATCGAATTTGGTCATAGATCGAATCGACACATATAGGTTTCAAGTCACAATCGACGAGTCTCCTACATGGATCATGCTTACCAGATAAAAAACGAACCACCACATAAAGTCCTTAAGTAAGGTCCGCTAATTAATCCAAGCTCCAAGGAAACACATAGACGATAACGCAGAACATAAAAAGTTAAGAAAATCCATGAAGTGAAACACCAAGACAACAGCACGACCGCCAAATCAAGCGAACACAAATGACTTTTGTGCTCAATCAGTCGGTGTCGGATCAGCGGGTTTGCCCGAGCCCTCAATGAGGCCGTTGTTCCCTGATGGGTCGTCCAGCGAATGATCATCATCGCCTATGGACCGAGGCAGCGCATCATCGCCTCCTGCAGCACTTGATGATGCCTCAGCGAGCCTGGGAGGTGCTTCAGCTGAATGCTTGTGGCCCTGCTCATTTTGAGCAACACATAAATAAACACATACATATAGATCATTTCAAATACAAGGCTGGAGGTTTATATAAGGACGAGAGAGGTGTGGAAAATATGGAGTATCTATAGACCTGGAGATTGGGAAGCAGATCTGCAGCATTCCCTCGATTGAATGGGAAGGGCTTGCTTGCCATGGGTGGATTTGAGGTCATCTGCTTCAGCCACTGGATTTCCAACTTGATCTTCTCGTTCCTAGCTGTCACAAGAAGCATAGATCAGAAGGTCCTAGAGAAAATATGTCGGTTCTAACAATTTTACTATGTTCATGTCATTGCTACATGCAAAACGAAACCAGTTTTCTCTCAATGATGGTGACAACGATCACGGCCGCCACCATCAAGCCTTTTATACCGAGAAAATTGTTCAAAAGGGCTTCAACAGTGTAGAAAGTAGAAACAGCATTCAAAGTAAGTACTGAAGTAGATAATCTGGAAAAGAAAGCCTTACCATCCTGCTGGTGAAGCCGATTCACCATAGCCTTGTGAAGCTCCTTCAACTCGGCATTTTCATTGCTCAGATCTATGGTTTCCATCTGTTTAATTATCAATGAACAACTCGAAACGCCCGTTAGTTCGTCACAAATATAGAGACTCCAAATTGATAACCAAACCATGTACAGAAACTAAAGCTTGCGATCAAATTCATTAAACTCTTCCGCAAAAAAAAAATTCATTAAACTCAGAGAAAGTAGTATCACCTCCAACGTTGCTAACTCAGCAGCTAGTGCACTCGCTTGGGCTTGCAAGGATTTCACCTTTTGCTTCAACATGTCTTCCTCCGGCCTCTTTTTGTTCCTCGAGTTTTTGGCGGATGAACGGTTCAACATTATTCTACGAGCAAAAATTGAAAAAGAATCACTTAGACTGCTTCATTCGAAAATTTCGATAAGTAAAATGGTGAGGCAGAGATTTCAAATAACTATTGCCTTCATGGAAAGAGAAACACCTCAACATGAATTCTACAAGAACCAATCACAATTTTTTTTTATTGCAAACAGGAATAGAGAAGGAAGCATAATCTGAAACATACCCATTTGAATATGAATTCCTAGAGGGATTGTTAAAAGCTGTTGAGAAAATAGAAGAAAAAGGCCATATAAATAGGATTACCATGAAATGCCTACTAGGAAAGGTAATCAAATTTGATCGAAAATGGAAAATAGACAATAACTACAATGGAAACAGATTTTTCTGGTCAACTCCAGTGAAAAAGATTTAAGCTGTCAATATTATGAATTACCACAAATAACCCCGGAAATTGCGCGTCCTGAGTCGCTATTTTCTCTTGCTTCATTAACTGCTAGATTTCTATCCATGTTTTCTCATGTTAAAGTATCTATTATCGCTTTAACGAGCCTCACATTTATGTGATCTCCGTTCATCTATCAGTTTAAACTCTTGGGTTGGATCTTCTAACACGGTATTAGAGCTAGTTTCCGCTCCGAATTTATTTCGTGTTTGAGGCTCTTCAGTGCCAGTTCCAAAACCATTCTTATTTCAATTTGTGTTTGAAAATGGGTGTGAAAGTACTCCACCTCACTTGCCTAGGATTTCAATGATCATCGAGTCTCCATTTACCTATCAACATAAATTTTTAGGTTGAATTTTCAAAGTGCACCAAAACTCCCACAACTTATTGTGAAAGTGAAATTAAGTTCTAAAACTTTTGAAAAATGCAATCAAATCCTAAAACTTGTCAAGTTTGTGCAATCAAGTTCCTCCGCTAACTCCATCCAATTTGACTAACAGAAAATGCTAACATGACTTTTTTTTATTGCTATTTTAAAACACATGGCGCCACATCAGAAAAAAAAAACTTCAAAAAGAAAAAGGGATAATAGCACAAATGATCCCTGAACTTTGATCAAATATGCAATGTCATCCATAATCTTTTAATTTGTACAATATGGTTCATGAACTTTTAATTTATACAATGCAGTTCCTAAGCTTTGGCACAATGTGCTATGTCATCCCTAGACTTTTAATTTGTTCAATGTGGTCCCTGAACTATTGATAAATGTTCAATGTAGTCCTTAAATTATATGAAAATATTTAAAAGTTCAAGGACCATATTAACAAATTAACAGTTTAAGGACGATATTGCACATAAGACCAAAGTTCAAGGATCATTTGTGTCACTTGGGAAAGTGATGAAGAACGAGATCAAAGCTTAAAAGTTGCTCTGTTCCAATTTTGAGGGAATCCTGGTAAGCGGTTATGTGAATGCTGCTTGATTCTAACACGTTTATGTTCGAGTGATCTCTAGAAAGGATTCTTATGATGATTAAGTGTGACGAAAACCTTTTTAAGCGATTCTTGCAATTCGGTGTTCAAACTGGAGATTATTTTCATATGATATTTGTGGATATGTTGTCTTCTTTAAGATGTTCAATCCACTGATATCATCGAACCTTCCTCTCCTCAGCAAGATGATGGTGACGAGGATGATGATGTGCAGGAGAGATCGCGTGGACACGACCCGTGATTGAGATTCGAGGGGATAACGAAAAGAGTGTGTTGAAGGAAGACAATGAGGAAGAAGATGATGAGGAGGAGGAGGAAGATGGAGTATAGAGAAAGGAGGGAGAGAATGGCGAAGAAGATGACGGCGAGAACGACGGTGGTGGAATGGACGATGATGGCGAGGATGACGAGAACAACGATGTGCATGAGGTTTTGCAGTCGTCTTGCTGACCTCCGGAGGTTTATTCGGTGGACGACAATGTGAGATCGAGCAAAGGCGAATGGGAAGATGAAGGCCTCTTTTCTTTTGTCCCTTTTTCTTTTTTCTCTTTTTGTAATTTTTATCCTCTTTTCATTTTTTTTAATTTTCATTTTTTGTATGTGGCGCTTGGTGGGCGTCGCATTAGCACCACATGTCTTAAGAAATTATAAAAAAGTCATATCACCATTCTCCGTTAACCAAATCGCATGAATTTAACAAGTTTTAGGATTCAATTGCATTTTTTAAAAGTTTTAGAACTCAACTGTACTTTCGTGATAAATTTTAAGGTTTCTAATACACCTATCCCCGAAAGGTTATGTAAAATTTTCTTAAGAGATCGGTCACTGAGTCACGAGGTGGTATTTCTCATTTCGGGATAAACAAGTTCGCTAGCTTATGCATAGTTTACGTTCATGAAGTCCAAAATATGTTCAGAGCCAATAAGCAAGTGGATTTTGATTAATTTTATCTATATCTTTTTAAAGCAGAATTTTACTTAAAAATTTAATAAGCACTTAATATTTTTCAGCTCTCATAAAATAAAATCCAAAAGTACACAATAGCACGCAGATCGTAGTCTATAAATTTGAAAATTGAAATGCTTCTATTCCGAAAAGCATAGTATTGCAAGATTTAAACCCTCTTTTGTGAGCTTGATAGCAAGACACCGGAAGACAGAACAGAAACAATTAGTAAATTGCGACAAGCATTATATGTACATTATTTGAGTATTGTAATTAAAATCTAAACTAGTCATCTAAACTAATAATGTTTTATGATTGTTCCTTTCGTTCGAAAAACGTAAAATGTCCTAAAATTCAAAAAGGAATGCCTGGAGTTCACTTGGCCTTCATACACAAATAATGTGGAGTTTGGTATCTCTAAAGCGGTAAAAGTTGGACAGTCTTTAAATCTTGATCATATAGTATGTGGTTGAAGCTAAAAGAATTAATCAATGATAAGGTCTTGTGGTCTCTCGATATCAATAAAGGTAGACGGTAGACCACATATATAAAAGGAGTAGAGTTCTCATGGATGGAATTACATCTTAGATAACAGTTGAAATTCAAATTTTGAGTTGATTCTGTTTTTCTTCAATAGAATTAGTCAATTCCTAAAACTCGTATTGACGTAGTTTATCTAAGTTCCTGTCCCTAATTAAAATGGATTACTCATTTCTCGTCTGAAGAAAATTTTTCATTAGGATTGAAGCCAATCACTCAGATAAAATTATAGTTTTCCTTCTTTCTCCATTAAACTGCTTTATATGACATCTTACTCAAGTAAAAAAATTTCTTCACACAAAAAAATATTTTGACTTCTTTGCTGCTTATAAATAAGTGTAGGAGCATATAATGTGTACTTATCATGCGTTAGAGCAAAGTAGGTGTTGCAAGTAATTCCTTGTTTTTTTGTGTTGGTAAGTAAGTAAATGAAATTATGAGATTAGACTGAAGTATTAGCATGTACCTCTTTGAACGCCTTGGATCAAGGACCGCTTGTTCTTCGAGAACAGTTTTTGATAGTTTCTTCCATTGCTTCTTGAAATCAGTAGGTAACTCCATTGTGCTCAGCATCAATGATGCTCGAGAGACGTGCGCAACGACTGAATGGTTCATTTCTTATATGAGATTCAGTGACATTTCGTCATTTGTGTATTGTTCGGGGTAAGAGAAGTCAATAAAGCATAGGCTGATATACTTGGAGAAAGATTCATAGTCTTCATCAAGTTCATCAGAATATAATCGATCGTCTTCTTCCTCTGACATGACTTTTGTTTTTGTCCATTTTCATCAAGCTATTCACACAAACATAGCACAAAAACCAATGGCCAATTTTCTTAGATCCAAATCTTAAAGCATATACAAAAATGTGTCATTTGAATAAATGAGATTCCGAAAGTCATTACTTGATTATTAGCTCCGACAAGCGAAGTTTTTAAAACAAGTGCAAAGTTAGAGAAATCAAACATCAAACATTTGGGTGAGAGGAGAGAGAGACCCCAACGAAAGTGAAAGTCAAGGAAATCCTTGTTTGACTTTATAAACGGGAATAATTTAAATAAACATATTTGACTTTGTGTTAAATTTGGTATGAAGTTTGATAAATGTGATAGGTCGTTCCTCCTCCTAAAGATGTTCGTGAATTTTTCTTCTGATGATACATAATGTGATTATAAGTAAATCCACTCTCAATCATGTATGTGTAGGTAAAAAAGTTTTCTTTTCATTCATCATTGAAAAAATTAATTACTTGAGAATGTACAAAGTGAAAATCTTGACTTTGAAAATAATAATTTTACATTCCATGAATGCCTTTAATAAAATTTCCTAACTATTCTTAGAAGGTTAGTGCAATCATCGTCCTTTTTCTTTTATAATGAAATGAACGTATGAGGCTGTAGAGTGGGAAATATATTATTTCACGCGTTTCTATTTTTAAGCAAAGGTCTATTTTTGTACTTCGGTCTTACTTTAACAGTATGTCGCGCTCATTGACATTTTTAGAAAATCAATAATTACACTAATGGGCATTTAAATCATATTATTCTTTTCTCTTCGAGATGCATATTAAACTAAAAAGAAGAAAAATATATATTTTCAACCAGAACCCCAAAAAAAAAAAACAAAAAAGGAAAACAAGATATTTTCCAGGATTTTTTCATTGGAAAATAATTAAGTAAGAAAACCAATTTGCTAGTTTAGTTTATGTATAGACAATCTGCCTGTCCATTATGTAAACCCCATTACTAAGCCAATATAGAAATATCCCTGTTAGTTACTTAAATATCTGAGCTTTCAACATGAAACGAAACTTACCAACTTGCCTTTTTCGCCTGGATATGTTCATCCAACATTTTCAGAAACTCATCTATTTTCTAATTTGGTTTTATTTTATTTTCTGGATTTTCACCATCCCGAAAACGCAGACAAAAAATGCCCTTTTTGGATACAATAGTTCATAGCCATTTAATGCCATTCAACTCTCATTCAAAAATTGTGAAATAACTTAGACGCCGTTTGGTTATGTTTACAAAAACCGTATCTCTGTTTTTTAAAGAAAAAGAATAGTTTTGACATGAAAACACCACTTGCATG